ATTAGATCTACAATAAAAAGAAATTCTAGATGTCTAAAGATCATATCTTACTTCTAAAAGTACATTAGCCCAGCCCAGCCCAGCCCAGCCCAGCCCAGCCATAGGAAACTAAAACAAATTTATTGTTTTCAAAGAGTAAACATTAACTTACTTGAGTTTCATACCCATCTGGTAACTTAGATATGAAGTCATGAGCATTTGCAGCCTTTGCTGCTCCTTCTAAATCTTCCAATGATGCTCCTTCCTTCCCAAATAGTATATTATCTTTAATGGATGTTGCAAAGAGGATTGGTTCTTGATTAACCAGTCCCATTTGTGATCTCAGCCGCTTAAGATGAAGTTTATTTATCTTGTAACCATCGAAGAGAATTTCACCTTCAATAGGATCATAAAATCTTTGAAGTAATGAAATAATGGTGGACTTGCCACAGCCACTGGCCCCGACAAGACCTACTGTTTCACCAGCTGGAACTCTTAAGATTTAAGCCTTGTAGAATTGGTGTATCAGGCGTTGATGGGTAACTAAAATTTATTTCATTGAATTCAATTTCTCCTCTCACATGTGATAGAGCCTTCCCTTTCTTCTCTTCAATGTCTATGGCCGGAAGCCGATCAGTGATCTCCGTAATCCTAGTAGCAACCACCTTTGCCTCTGTGATGAAGGTGAGATTGGGCAGTGCAGTCAAAATATTTCTGCAAGGCTAGTGAAACAGTGAGTCTCAAATTAAAATAAAGTTATGAAAATTTTTAATATCTTCTTTTGCAGTTTAAATAGAAATAAAGGTAAAGTTCAAAAAACCCTCCTGAACTATTGCCTTTTTGCAAATAGCCCCCCTGAACTAATGATTTGTCGCAACCCATCTCAAAAGACTATTTTACCCTTTTTCATTAAATTTGCCATGTCTCATTAAAGTATTTTGTCTTTTCTCTTATCTAAATATTAATTATACCATTTACCTTAATTTATCATTAATGTCAATAATTTATCACAAAAATGGGAAAAAAGTAAATAGAGTTGTAATTACCATTTTTTAAAATGATTAACTTATCATTAATTCTTTACTATTTATAATAAAACTTATTATACTCGGTTTAAACTTTTTTACCATAAAAAAACACCTTCTTTTTCATATAATCTATTCATAAAAAATTAATAAAATAAAAAATACCTTGTTTTTTGTACAATATATTCATGAAAATTTAAGAATTACTTAACGTATTTAAAATTTTCTACTTTAGATTTTTATTTAAACAATTAATTTCAAGAATTAAAGGTAAATTTATGCAAATTTAATGGAGAAATGTCATCAAATGAATATTTTTTTCAGAATTTTTTAAAATAAGAAACATGGATTAAGTGTAATTGAATAAGGGCATTATGGTCATTTAATCAAAAAATAGCCCAGGCCTAGGGGCATTTTGCAACAAAATGTGATAGTTCTGGGTATTATGCACAAAATATACTTCAGACATGGTTTAGAGGTTTTTTGCACTTTAACCTGGAAATAATGCACAAGATTTATAAAGAAATAACTCACAATCCTGCCATGAAGACATTGAATCCAGCTACAAAAACATCGCCGCCCTTTTCTCCCTTTTCAGTAACCATAACAGACCCAAACCAAGCCTGAAAAGCCCCTCTAACATAGATAACTCCCATGCTTCCCATCATCAATCCTCTTGCAAAACCTTGCTTTATTCCCAATTCCATTGATTTTTGAAGCGTGTGGCTGAACCTATCTAGTGTTTGTTGCTCTCCAACGGAGGAATATACAATTCTTATTTAAGAAATTGCTTGTTCTGCAATCCCACCAGCAACCCCGTAAGATTCAATCATCTTTGACCCGACATCCATCATTAGCTTCCCAAATCCAAGTCCTGGGGCGATGAACACAATGGTGAACGGAATAGATGCCAATGTAATATAACAAAGGCAAATATCATGCAAAAGGAGGAGGACGACAGCAAAGCAAGACAGTTGGGAATCTGCACATAAGAAACAATTTCAATTTCATAAGACGAGAGGGGAGAAAATAAGAAGAAGAAATTGTTTGATGTAAGACCGGAATGTTGTAATACCAACTGATGTAGGACGGAAAGTGTGCTCTGATAGTTGATTGTTGTTTGGCTACATCAATCCTGTTTATTGCTAGTTAAATCCATTATAATAAGCTCCATGTTATCTTTCACCCATATATGTGGTCTTTGAAGTGAAGAGACAAGCATAAATTACTCTGTACAAGAGTATGTGTTCCTTTTCTTTACTTTTTTTTTTTTTTTGCGCGCACACTCACACATGTATATATACTATTTTCGTTGTGCTCTTAACCAAGATCTTGGGTTTTATGCAACAGTAATTAAGAAGAACATGGTGGGTGCAGCCAAATTAAGACTTTCTCTCCTATGGCGATTTGTATTGAATTGGAATGGTTGAAACTACTTGGTAAGTTGTCGAAGATTCAGCTGCTTGTGTGTCGAAGAAACCAACTTCTTGTCTAAGGATAGCTTTCAGGTATTCCATTCTCATTCGAGAAGTCTGTCTTTCAGCGGTTCTTGCCCAACTAAGTCCTGCATAAATAAATGCCACAAAAATTGCAACATAGAATATGGTGAAGTTATAGTATTGAAGGTGTAATCAGTATTTGTTATGGAGTATCGGATGCAATAAGTTAAGGATTAGGAATTTAGGAGACTTACCAACAAAAGCAGATAATCCTTCTCCAATTGCAACATATAGCAGTCTGAGTGCATACTGAAACATAACAAATTTACAATTGCATGTTGATAAAGTGCATGTATCGAACTTCATAATCCATATATAAATTGATGCTTGATAGACTATATATATCACACTTTGTTGGAGCACTACCTTGTTTACAACATGAATAGACACTTTGCTGTTGATTGTTGCCATAGTCATTGATCACGTCCCTAAGAACAAACATCATGAGAGGGATCTGCAACCCATCTCCAATGCAACCCTAAGTCCCCAACAACATCAACTTCTTGTCCACACCATCACCATATCTGAACATTCCATCTTTGCTACCCATTATATCTAACGCTTCCTTCAGGTGCGTTGAACAATCTCTTCACTACTGCTTATTCATCAATACACATTTCAACTTCAATATATGCATGTGATCAATTTTAGTAGATGCCTTACTTGGGGACTGCCGTCATTATTTATATTATCTTCTTCGCTAGCAAACTTCTATTAAGCAACTAGCAAAAACCGTACAAAACAAAAGAAACATGGTTTCGAGAACCAGCAATTAAAAACAGAATAGAAAGAAACAAAGCAGTACAACACAAAGAAAACCAACTAAACCACCAGCCATGAAGACTCATAGTCAAACTGAATTGTTCAACGCATTTTAGAATTAGCCGGCATTGTTTGTTTGTGTTGGTCACAGGAATACGGATTGTTGGTTTACCCAATTTCAGTTAGTCTTGCCTCCTATTTTGTTTCCTGTTTCAGCAACATGGGGGATTTAAGAACTGTTTTCTTAGACCTAAGAACGCTCATAACCTTTATGATGCCTATGATGTTCAATTTTGACATTGTCAAATGGTGATACTCAATCCAGAACTATATACGTGAATGATTTAGTTGCATGATTATTATATAAAGTACGGATAGATATTTAACATGAAATTCACACTTAAAGCTTATAAAATTCGAATGATATAGTTTGATGAAGTATTTATCAATGGTACTCGATAATTTATTCTCCTATATTAGTTGAATATATATGTATATATGATCAAAATGTTTAGTTAAACATTATGCTAGTCCAATTATCTTAGACTTATTCATATGTCTTGAATGGTTTGTGATAATATTTTGTTTTTAAAACAGGATAAGATTCAACTGTACATGAATCTGGAATTGTTGAAATTGGTCCAGGAAGAAAGAAAATTTTGGTCCAGGATGCACTGAGGGGACCACTCACTGAATCAAGGAGTAGGCGAGTTCTAATACCACTCATCTATCCAAAAATTAAAACTATTAAGCAGTATTACATACCACTTATTGAAGAGAGAATTAAAAGAGTTGTGAGAAAGAAGAAGACGAATGGTGAGAACTGAGATGGACTGGGTAGCCCAGCTCAAGTGGTCTAGGCCTAAAGTTAAATGCCCAACGGTCAAAAACCAACTACTAAAGTGGTCTAGGCCTAAGGGTTGTACAGTACATATGCGATGCTGGACCCGTTTATTAAGCCCAACAACTTGCACTTTATTTCATTCTATGGGGACCTAACAACATAATCCAACTCATATACATTTATTTCTTAGAAAATTTTAAGCATTTTTCCAAAATACCAAACCTATAAAGCTTTATATATATATATATATTTAATTGACAAGAAACATATTTACATATCTATTTTTGTCTTTTTAAAAACTTGAAACTGCTTTGTTCATTTCTTCAAAAAATAAAAATAAAAAAATAGGTAACGACAATCTTACTTTCAAAACAAATTACATGTATTATGAAATAACATTTTTTCTCAATTCCTATTTATCAATCCTCAAACTACTGACTTAGTTGAACATAGAAGCCAACTCCTAAGTCAAAGAGCTCGAAGTCCTGACCTAAAGGTTGACCACACAAGTCAACTGATTAGCCAAAAAGCCCATATGGAAAGAAGGAAACAAAGCAGTAAAACACCAAGAAAACTAACAAAACTACCAGTCTACCAGCAATTAAGATTGAATGATAGTCAAATAAAATTGTTCATCGAACTTTATAAATTTAGCCGGCATTGTTTGTTTTGTGTTGCTCACAGGATTTGGTTTGTTGGTTTCCACAATTTCAATTAGTTGTATTTTTGTTTCCCGTTTCAGCAACATGGGATTTAAGAACTATCTTCTCACACCTAAGAAGGTTCATAACCTTTGACCTTCCGAAAAAAAAAAAAAAGGTTCATAACCTTTATGGTGCGTGTCATGTTTAATTTTGACACTGTCAAATTTTACTTTATTTTATTTTCTTTTTTTTTAATTAATTATTAAGTAAAATATATTCTATAATTTTCAAGTTTTTGAAATAAGTACGAGATAAATTAATTAAAGATAATATTAAGGAAGAGATTATTAATACAGTAACATTTATTTAAAAAAACAACAATACTTGGATTTTGATCCCAATCTTTAAAATTATATAAAGTAAAACAAAAATAAAAGTTAAAAAAAATAAATTGGCTCCGGAGAGATTAACCGGATATTTTTCTTGCCTGAAAATATATATATATTACCGCCACTCCTCCACCGCCGCCACTCGCCACCCTTTCTCCTTCTTTCTTTGCTCCTTCGTAAAACCCTAATAAAGCAAAAAAAAAAAAAAACCAATTTCATCATCACTTCAACCTCCAAAAACAAATACACATTACCAAACAAAAATATCCGGTCCGAAACAATCAATTTCATCATCCCATTTTGCTTATTCTCTTCTTTACAACACAAATTGCTCAACATTAACAAGATGAAAAAAATGCATGAAAGGGCCATTGGCGTGGCAGATCAAGTCTATGTGAGTACTGAAATCTCTTCCAGAACGACCCTTGTTTCTGCGATGCAAACAACTCCAACTACAAGAACAACACCATGATTCGCAAAGAGAACTTCGTCACCCTTGTCGTCAGGTCATCTCTCTCTCTCTTACTTCGTCTATCTAGGGTTTCTGTATTTTTTATGCTTCTTTTTGGCGTTTGATCCAAATTCAAGGCATTTGTACTAAGAAAGATGGAGATTGATGGAGCTTGGGTGGAAGAATAGGGATTATGAAACAACGGCAATTTTTTTCCTAAGATTATACTAGGTGATCAATAATCTTACTTCCAAACAATTACATAAATTACGAAACAACACCAATTAATTCTACTTGTTACTACACTTCAGCGATAAGGATAGTTGTTGCCTTATAGTTTTACAAGAGAATAGTAAATGCCATTTTGTCCAAAGGAAACTAAATCAGAATGTGAACCCTGCTCCACAACTTTTCCATCCTTGATCACTGCAATGGAATTGGAATTCTGAATCGTTGATAGTCGATGAGCTACAACAATACATGTCCGACCATTCGTCATCTTCTCAAGTGCTTGTTGAACTAAGTTCTCTGATACACTATCAAGGGCACTGGTTGCCTCATCCAATAGAAGGATTGATGGGTTCTTTAGTATTGCACGAGCTATTGCTATTCTCTGTTTCTGACCTCCAGATAACTGAACCCCTCTTTCTCCGCAGTAAGTATTGTAGCCATCTTCCATTCCACTGAATATAAAGAAGAAGTGAGTGGTTAATATAAAGGAGGTACGGTTTATGCTTCAATGCAAAGTCATTTTCTATCATCAAATTTGTCTTTCAGTTTGCTACAACATCAGACAAGTTAATCTTGAGCTAAGTTAAACAATAACATAAAGTGTGTTCAACTTTAAAGGGTTTTGTTTTCCAATATTGTTTTCAACTATTTCTACCCACTAGAGAAGTCCATGCATCATTTGTTCTTTTCACAAAACAAAATAAGATAAAAGATTACCTATTGGCAATAGATTTCGTACCTTATAAATTCGTGCGCATTGGCAAGCATTGCAGCCTCTCTAATCTCAGATTCCTTGGCATCATTTTTCCCATAGGCAATGTTTTCGTGGATAGTTCCTGCAAAAAGGGTTGGCTCCTGGCTGACTAATGCAATTTGTGTCCTCAGGGATCTCAAATGATACTCCTTTATGTCCCTTTCATCTATATATACAGCTCCCTGCACTGGGTCATAAAATCTCTGAATAAGTCCAATAATGGTAGATTTTCCGGAACCACTCTGTCCCACTAGTGCTACTGAACTTCCTGCTGCAATCTTAAGCCACAGGCCCTTAATGATCAACTGATTAGGTCTTGATGGATATGCAAAGACAACATTTTTCAGCTCCACACTGCCTTTAATCGAGATTTTATTAGCATCAAATCCCCTCGAGTTATCTGGATCGATTTCACTCTTCCTATCTAGTATTGAAAATATTGACTTGACAGCATTGCTTCCTCTAGATAAATCCTTGGTCATGCTTCCTGCCTCGGCAATTGTGTAAGCAGTAAATAGTAGTAAAAAGAATGTTTGAAAGAGCTGCTCTGGAGTTATTAACCCTTTTGTCAATAGCCTTCCTCCATACCAGTATGCTAAAGCTGTTGAAGCTGCAGCCAAAAATTGGGAGCTAAACAAGCCAATACCCGAAAACCAGGATTGTTTAATGCTTTCCTTCCTAGGGCCCTCCAAGGTGGCTCGGAAGATCTTCAATATTCTCTTTTGAGAAGAGAAAGCAGTTATTGTTCTATGGTTAATGACAGTTTCACTTGCTAGTTGACTTCCTTCCTTCTGTGCTTTTTGGATTTTTTCAGACATACTCTTGAACAAGAAACTCTTGGCGTAAAAACTCCCGATGAGTAATGGTTGTGCCGTGATTAATACAATGGATAGCCTCCACGTGAGTGCAAGACCTAGTGCGTAAGCAAAGGTAGCCCCGAAGAATGCTTGAGCCAGTAATGAGATACGGTCCCCAACAAGGGATCGTACCATGTTAGCTTCAGTTGATAGCCTTGCACAAATGGCTGCACTTGTGTTCTCATCTTGATCAAACCAACCAATCTCAAAGGTCATCAGCTGTTCTAGCAGCTGCTCTCTTACCCTTCTGGTCAACTTTTCTCCCATGATTGCAAAATTGTAGTGTTGGAGGAGACTGGTAATGAAGTTGAAAACTCCAAGGCCTAAGAAAATTAGAGAATAGAATCTGGCATCAGATTTGATGGAGGATTTTTCATTTTTGAAGTAAACTGATATAAGTGCCCCCACACAGTAGGAATTTATGGGTTGAACAGCTCCGGATCCTATTGCGCCTATGCATCCAAGCAATGCTCTTCCCCACTCAGGTGCATTCATTTTTAGCAAACGCCACTGCAAAGGGGGACAAGAAGTTAGTTGCTTCAGATTCTCCTCATCACTTTCATTAGAAGCTTCAAATTCAACAGAGTGAGGTGGGCTGATGAAAAAATCCGGGCTATATGGATGTATCCCTGGGGTGCTTGGTGCACTTGATCTCACACTCATTGGGCTCGGTGGACAACCCGTATTGTAGTGGCTACTTCCATCTACTTGACAATCAGCATCAATTGAGGCTTCATTGAGCATTGTTGATTGCTGCAACTGCACCATTCGAAAGTATTCTCCACCCTGTCCACAATTCATTTGCATAAGCTCATCATGTGAACCTGATTCAACTACTTTTCCTGATTGAAGAACCACAATCAGATTAGCCATTCTTATTGTGCTGAGGCGGTGGGCAATGACAATTGCTGTCCTTCCCACTGACACCTGATCAATGGCCTCCTGTACAGTTCTTTCAGATGCTGCATCCAGGGCACTCGTAGCTTCATCAAGCAGCAAGATTTTAGGTTCTCTTATTAAAGCCCTTGCGATGGCTATTCGTTGTTTTTGCCCTCCAGACAATTGAATCCCAAATTGCCCAACCTGGGGAATCCAATAAAACATCTTATTAGATCTACAATAAAAAGAAATTCTAGTTGTTTAAAGATCATATCTTACTCAAATTCACATAACTCCAAAATATATTCTACCTTTCTTTATCCCATTTTCCTTATTTTCTTTCTTTTGTTTTTTTTTCTCCCCCACTGAAGCTGCTTCTTAAAGTAATTTAACCCAACCATAGGAAACTAAAACAAATTTATTGTGTTCAAAGAGTAAATGTTAACTTACTTGAGTTTCATACCCATCCGGTAACTTAGAAATGAAGTCATGTGCATTTGCAGCCTTTGCTGCTCGTTTTAAATCTTCCACTGATGCTCCTTCCTTCCCAAATAGTATATTCTCTTTAATGGATGTTGCAAAAAGGACTGGTTCTTGATTAACCAGTCCCATTTGTGATCTCAACCACTTAAGATGAAGCTTGTTTATCTTGTACCCATCCAAGAGAATTTCACCTTCAATAGGATTATAAAATCTTTGAAGCAATGAAATAATGGTAGACTTGCCAGAGCCACTGCCCCCGACGAGACCTACAGTTTTGCAAGCTGGAACTCTAAGATTTAAGCCTTGTAGAATTGGTGTATCAGGCCTTGATGGGTAACTAAAAGATATTTCTTTGAATTCAAGTTCTCCTCTCACATATGACAGAGCCTTCCCCTTCTTCTCTTCAGTGTCTATGGCTGGAAGCCGATCAATCATTTCCGTTATCCTAGAAGCGACCACCCTTGCCTCTATGATGAATGTGAGATTTGGCAGTGCAGTCAAAATATTCCTGCAAAACTAGTGAAACAGTGAGTCTCAAATTAAAGTGAAGATTTGAAATTTATCAATATCTTCTTTTGTAGTTTAAATAGAAATAATGCACAACATTTATAAAGAAAAAACTCACAATCCTCCCATGAAGACATTGAATCCAGCTACAAAAACGTCGCCACCCCTTTCACCCTTTTCAGTAACCATAATAGACCCAAACCAAGCCTGAAATGCCCCTCTAACATAGATAACTCCCATGCTTCCCATCAGCAACCCCCTTGCAAAACCTTGCTTTATTCCCAATTCCATGGTTTTTTGAAGCGCGTGTCTGAACCTGTCAAGCGTTTGATGCTCTCCAACATATGAATATACAGTTCTTATTGAAGAAATTGCTTGTTCTACAATCCCACCAGCAACCCCATAAGATTCAATCATCTTCGTCCCCACATCCATCATGATTTTCCCGAATCCAAGTCCTGTGGCAATGAACACAATAGTGAACAGAATAGATGCCAATGTAATCCTCCATGATAGAACAAAGGCAAATATCATGCAAAAGAAGGAGGATGACAGCAAAGCAAGACAGTTGGGCATCTGCACATAAGAAACAATCTGATTTCAATTACATGAGACGAGGGGGGAGAAAATAATAAGAAGAAATTGTTTGATGGATGATCGGAATGTTTTGATACCAACTGGTGTAGGACGGATAGTGTGCTCTGGTAGTGAATTGTTGTTAGGCTACGTCATCCTATTTATTACTGGTAAAATTCAAGTGTTTCTAAACTTCAATTTACATATAGAATTTCCAAGCATAATTTACTTTGCATGTGTTTCCTTTTTACTATTGTCATTGTGCTTTCAACCTTGGGTTGTTATGCAACAGAAATTAAGAACTTGGTGCCAGCGGAATTAAGACCTTCTCTCCTATAGCGATTTGGATTGAATTGGAATTGGAGGAGATGGTTGAAACAACTTGGTAAGTTCTTGAAGATTCAGCTGCTTGGGTGTCGAAGAAACCAACTTCTTGTCTAAGGATAGCTTTCAGGTATTCCATTCTCATTCGAGAAGTTTGTCTTTCGGCAGTTCTTGCCCAACAAAGTCCTTCTGCATAAATAAATGCCAGCAAAATTTCAACATAGAATATAGTGAACTTCTAGTAATGAAGGTATAGTCTTTATTTCTCATCGAGTATTGGAAACGATAAATTAGAGGGTTAAGTGCGGAAACCCCCATCTGCTATGCTTACTGTGTGTATCACACCCCTCATGTGCACAAAACACCCCTGAAGTATGCAATAGTGCAAATAAACTCTACCTGACACATTTAAGGTAGATTTTACCCAAATTACTGAGACATTTTACATACTATCTAAAAATACATAATTTTGTGAAATGACGAAAAGTGACACAAGTTAAATTGACATTGTTTGGACTCAAATGCACAGATCATTCAACCCTAACTTCTTATTGTCTAAGGTGCAGGAACATCATCAACAAATGAGTCATAAGCTTTAAGGTCGGTCATTTGTAAAATTTCCTCCACAAAGAATGAAATGACCAACCTCTGTCTTTTTGTTATCATCTGATTTGTCCCTCTTTACTCTTATGATTCCTTTCAAAGTCTAATGCACGGTATTCATGTATGTGGATCAATTGATCTTGAAACAGTGTCGTGAGGAGTAGGAAGATGCATGGAGAGATTTGGGGGAGTTCTTGATTAGGAAAGAGAATTGGATTTTGGAGGGGAGAGAGGAGGTGACAAAGGACTAGCGCATGAAGGGGCGAACAGGGTTTTGCGGCAGCAGGAGAACCAGCCGATGAGGGGCGGTCGGTTGGAGGAGACGAGGCGTCAGAGAGAGAAATAAATGACGTTGAGTTGGCCAGTGGAGTCATAGAAGGTGGAGTTGGATGTCAAGCAGGAGGAAGAGGTGATTGGGGTGACAAGGGTGGTGGAGTCGGAGGATGTGGTGGTGGCGCCTGCATCGGCTGTGGGGTCATCGGAGAGGGATGATGGTGTGATGTAGGTAACGTGGCGGAAGAGGACGCCTTCCACGTCACCTAGAGAGGAAGAGAACCATTGGATGTTGGAGGCTAATGTGGGGCCCGATATTTGTGTTAACCATTGTTGACATTATTATACTGTTTACAGACCAAATCACATAATTTGTAGTTTTTACTTGTATGAATTATACTTCCTGCTCAACTAGGCTCAAGGATTATAGTAATTATAATTAACCAAAGTTTTATCGTCGAACTTGTGTGGTTTGATGAGGAGCTAAAATCAGTTTTGATGACTTCAGTTCGTTGACTTCGGAAGCTGACAGCTGGCCTGATTAATGCTGCTACTTTGATAGATTTTCTAGTCCCAAACCACCACCATCACCGTCCTGCTCAATTTATACCAGAGGATGTAAATACATTAACATTTTTGTAATGTTACATCTATAAATATGAATGATCTGCATTAACAATGAAGTTTGTAGGGACTGTTGAAGGAAGATGGGGATCTCAGCAACCTAACCTAACTTTTGCTTGTGAGTCACTTGCATGACTTGACATGTTGTGAACAATAGTTTAATTCTGGTTGTAAGCAATGGTTTGTTATTTGGTGAAATTTGTACCTTTTAGTTATGAAGTGAAAGGCAAGAGTAATACAATTATTATTTGTTATTTGCTAGAGGAACTGTATAGAAAGAGAAAACACTAAAACCGTAGAGAAATATATATAGAGAGAGAATCCTCAAAAGTGGGTTGATGTTCACATAACACCCCTCTATAAGAATATATATATATATATATCCACACACAATACACACCCCTTGGGCATTTGCCAAAGGTTAAAAGGACAAAACAGACATTAAAGCATTAGTTTATGGGGGTGTTTTTGCACATTTTTAAAAGAATAAGGGAGATGATACTACACTTTTTAAAATAGAGTGAGAGTGATATCCCAAGTATACTTTATGAAAATGGGTGTTTTCCGCCCTTAACACTAAATTAGAGAATTTGAAGACTTACCAACAAAACCAGATAATCCTACTCCAGTTGCAATATATAGCAGTCTGAGTGCATACTATAACAAATTTACGGTAGCATGTTAATAAAGTGCATGTATTCAAGACCATATATATAAAATGATGCATTGTAGACTATATATACATACATATGATACTTTCTTATAAATCACACTTTCTTGGACTACCTTGTTTACAACATGAATAGACACTTTGGTACCAATGTTGCCATAGTCATTGATCACGTAACTAAGAGCGTACATCATGAGAGGGATTTGCAACCCATCTCCAATGCAACCCACAGTTCCCAAAAACATCAACAACTTGTCCACCCCATCACCATATCTGAACATTCTATTTTTGCTACTGCTACCCATTACCTCTAATCAGTATCGAACACTGCATGTTCATCAACACGCATTTCTGCTTTTATATATGCATTTCATCAATTTTAGTAGATGCCTTATATCATTATATATATTATCTTCTTCGCCTACTTCTAATGCTAAAACCAAATTGATGAATAATGCCAAACCCGACTTGAATTTTTTTTCAAACAACTAGCATAAAACAATACAAAAAAAAGCCTATAGAAAACACGCAAGCAAAAAATACGATTTTGAGAATGCGACGAATAAAAACAGAACAGAAAGAAACAAATGGGGATATTCAATTGAGAATTATATATGGAACAATTAAGTCGCGTGATTATTAAATAAAGTACCCGTATGGATCTAGAGGAAATTCACACTTCTTGTTATGAATAAAGCTTATTAAATTCGGATGATATAGTTAGATCAACTATTTGTCAATTGTACTCGATTATTTATATATTAGTTGAATCTATATATGATCAAAATGATTGGTTAAATATTATACATGTCCAATTACCATTTAGACTTATGTACATGTCTTCAATGTTTTGTGAAAATGTTTCATTTTCAAAACCAGATAGGATTCAACTGTACATGAATTTGGGATCGTTCAAATTGGCCCCTAGTGCCACCCACCGATAGATGTAGGTTGAACTCTATGTGCATAATTAACAGTACTAGTACTAGTCTAGTTGTGCGGCCGTCCCTCTCACCATCGTCGTATTCTGTATATTTATTTATTTTTTATTACTCGTCATGTCACTTTTAACTTCTAAAGTCTCTCTCTCTCTCTCTCTCTCTCTCTCTCTCTCTCTCTCTCTCTCTCAAGTCTCAATTATTTGCTTCTCATTATCGGAAGTTTGTTGGAGGCGGCTACGAAGTAATCGGAAAATCATCAAAATCTCGCTTGATTTTGGCTGAAACTTTGCCGGAAAGTAGCCAGACGGTGCCACCAGAGATGACATTGAAGAGAGTGGAGGAAAGAGTTGTGGAGAAAGAAGATGAATGGTGGGAACCCAGATGGATTGGCTTGGAAGAAAGCCCCACTCTTTACAAGTGGTCTAGGCCTAAACTCATTTCCCAACGGTCAAAAACCAACTACTACAATCCCAACGGTCATAAGCCCAACAGTCATGAGGGTGCACAATAAATATGCGCAGCAGGACCCATTTATTAAGCCCAACAACTTACAGAGTACTTTTTTTTTTCACTCTAAATGTATGGGCCGAGTAATTTTTTAACCATTTTCCCAACACAACAAAGTAAAAAGTTTAGTCATTAATTTCTAATGTAACTATAACTATAACGGCTTCGTTCATTTCTTTCGAGACAAATTACATGTATTATGTAACAACAACAACAATTTTTCTCAATTTTCTATTTACCAATCCTCGAACTCCGGACTAGCGGTTGACCACGCAAGCCAACTCCTAAGCCCAAGAGCCCAGATGAGGACCAATCAATTAATTCTACTTTCTACACTTGACAGATAAGGAGAGTTTGTTGGCTTATGGGTTTACAAGAGAATAGTATACTCCATTTCGGCCTAAGGAAAGTAGATCAGAATGTGAGCCCTGTTCCACAACTTTTCCATCCTTGATCACCACAATAGAGTTGGAATTCTGAATTGTGGATAGTCTGTGAGCTACAACAATACATGTCCGACCATTCATCATCTTCTCAAGTGCTTCTTGAACCAGGTTCTCTGATGCACTATCAAGTGCACTGGTTGCCTCATCCAATAGAAGGATTGATGGGTTCTTCAGTATCGCACGAGCTAGTGCTATTCTCTGTTTCTGACCTCCTGATAACTGAACCCCTCTTTCTCCGCAGTAAGTATCATACCCATCTTTCATTCCACTGAAATAAAGAAGAAGCAAGTGGTTAATATAAAGGAGGTACAGTTTATTCTTCAATGCAAAGTCATTCCTACCACAATTTTTTCTGTAAGTTTATTCTTCAATGCAAAGTCATTTTCTCCACCAAATTTGCCTTTCGGTTAGCTACTGACAAGTTTATCTTGTACTAAGTTAAACAACAGTATAAAGTTTGTTCCTTTCCATTCACCACTTTAAAGGGTTTTGTTTTCTGCTCCCGTCATTGCGGGTATGGTTAGAGCTTGATGTACGCAGTCTTACCTCCATACGTGGAGAGGTTGCTTCATGTTTTTAACCTGTTACCTCTAGGTTACGATGGAGCAACCTTATCATTGACAAGGCTGCCACTTTTTTATTTTGAGTAAGATTTTCTTTTAAAAGGAAGGATAATATATATATATATATATATATATAAAAATAAATAATAAATAAAAATAAATAAATAAGTTGTTTTCAACTATTTCTACCCACTACGGAGAGATGTCCTTGCATCAGCTGTTCTTGTTTTCCCTGGAAAATTGATTTTTACAAAACGAAATAAGATAAAAAAATATTAAAGTTTCACAGCAGATTTCATACCTTATAAATTCGTGTGCATTGGCAAGCATTGCAGCCTCTGTTATCTCAGATTCCTTGGCATCATTTTTCCCATAGGCAATGTTTTCGTGGATAGTTCCTGCGAAGAGGGTTGGCTCCTGACTGACTAATGCAATTTGTGTCCTCAGGGATCTCAAATGATACTCCTTTATGTCCCTTTCATCTATATGTACAGATCCCTTCAATGGGTCATAAAATCTTTCTATAAGACCAATAACTGTAGATTTGCCAGAACCACTCTGCCCCACTAGTGCTACAGAACTTCCTGCTGCAATCTTAAGGCTCAGACCCCTAAAGATCAACTGATTAGGTCTTGATGGATATGCAAAGACGACATTTTTCAGCTCCACTCTGCCTTTAATCGAGATTTTAGTAGCATCAAACCCCCTTGAGTTATCTGGATCGATTTCAGTATTCCTATCTAGTATAGAAAATATTGAACTGACGGCATTTCTTCCTCTAGATAAATCTTTGGTCATGCTTCCAGCGTCGGCAATGGTATAAGCTGTAAAGAGCAGTAAAAAGAATGTTTGAAAGAGGTGTTCTGGAGTTGTTAACCCTTTTGTCAATAGCCTTCCTCCATACCAGTATGCCAAAGCTGTTGAAGCTGCAGCCAAAAATTGGGAGCTAAACATGCCAATACCTGAATACCAGGACTGTTTAATACTTTCCTTCCTAGGCATTTCCAAAGTGGCTCGAAAGAGCTTTAATATTCTCTTCTGAGAAGAGAAGGCAGTTATAGTTCTGTGGTTAATGACAGTTTCACTTGCTAGTTGGCTTCCTTCCTTTTGTGCTTTTTGGATTTTTTCAGACATGCCCTTGAACAAGAAACTCTTGGAGTAAAAACTCCCAATGAGTAATGGTTGGGCCGCGATCAGTACAATGGCTAGCCTCCACGTGAGTGCAAGACCTAGTGCGTAAGCAAAGGTAGCACTGAAGAATGCTTGAGCCAATAGTGAGATACGGTCCCCAACAAGGGATTGAACCATGTTAGCTTCAGTTGATAACCTTGCACAAATGGCTGCACTCATGTTCTCATCTTGATCAAACCATCCAATCTCAAAAGTCATTAGCTTTTCAAGAAGTTTCTCCCTTACTCTTTTGGTTAATTTTTCTCCCATGATTGCAAAATTGTAGTGTTGGAGGAGACTGGTAATGAAGTTGAATACTCCAACACCTAAGAAAACTAGAGAATAGAATCTGGCATCGGATTTAATGGAGGATTTGTCATTTTTGAAGTAAACTGATATAAGTGCTCCCACACAGTAGGAATTTATGGGCTGAACAGCTCCGGATCCCATCGCGCCTATGCATCCAAGCAAGGCTCTTCCCCACTCAGGTGCATTCATTTTTAGCAAACGCCACTGCGAAGGAGTAGTAGAAGTTAGTTGCTTCAAATTCTCATCATCACTTTCATAAGAGGCTTCAAAATCGACAGAGTGAGGCGGGCTCATGGTATAAACCAGGCTAAATGGATGCATCCTTGGGGTGCTTGGTGCATTTGATCTCACACTCATTGGGCTTGGTGGGAAACTCGTATGGTGATTTCTTCCATCAGTTGATCTCACACTCATTGGGCTCAGTGGACTACCCATGTTGTGGTGGCTTCTAATATTTTGGCTCTGCGGAACATCTACTGGATAATCAGAATCAATAGAGGCTTCATTTAGCATTGTTGATTGCTGCAACTGCACCATTTGAAAGTATTCTCCACCCTGTCCACTATTCATTTGCATCAGCTCATCGTGTGAACCCGATTCGAGTACTTTCCCTGATTGAAGAACCACAATTAGATTAGCCATTCTTATTGTGCTGAGGCGGTGGGCAATGACAATTGTTGTCCTTCCCACGGATGCCTGATCAATGGCCTCCTGTATAGTTCTTTCAGATGTTGCATCCAGGGCACTTGTAGCTTCATCAAGCAGCAAGATTTTAGGATCTCTTATTAAAGCCCTCGCAATGGCTATTCGTTGTTTTTGTCCTCCAGACAATTGAATCCCAAATTGCCCAACCTAGGGATTCCAATAAAACATCCTATTAGATATACAATAAAAAATAATTCTAGACGTTTAGAGATCATATCTTACTCAAGTTCTTTATCCCTTTTTTTTTTTTTTTTCCCCCACTAAAGTTTATTCTGAAAGCACTTTAGGCCAACAATAGGAAACTAAAACAAAGTTATTGTGTTCAAAAAGTAAATGTTAACTTACTTGAGTTTCATACCCATCCGGTAACTTAGAAATGAAGTCATGAGCATTTGCAGCCTTTGCTGCTTCTTCTAAATCTTCCATTGGTGCTCCTTCCTTCCCAAATAGTATATTCTCTTTAATGGATGTTGCAAAGAGGACTGGTTCTTGATTAACCAGTCCCATTTGTGATCTCAACCACTTGAGATGAAGTTTATTTATCTTGTACCCATCCAAGACAATTTCACCTTCAGTAGGATCATAAAATCTTTGAAGCAATGAAACAATAGTGGACTTGCCAGAGCCACTGCCTCCGACAAGACCTACAGTTTCGCCAGCTGGGACTCTTAGATTAAAGCCTTGTAGAATTGGTGTATCAGGCCTTGATGGGTAACTAAAATATACTTCATTGAATTCAATTTCTCCTCTCACATATGATAGAGCCTTCCCCTTCTTCTCTTCAATGTCTATGGCTGGAAGCCGATCAATGATCTCCGTAATCCTAGTAGCAACCACCTTTGCCTCTGTGATGAAGGTGAGATTGGGCAGTGCAGTCAAAATATTCCTGCAAGACTAGTGCAACAGTGAGTCTCAAATTTTAATAAAGTAATGAAATTTATCAATATCTTCTTTTTCAGTTTAAATAGAAAGAATGCACAAGATTTATAAAGAAATAACTCACACTCCTCCCATGAAGACATTGAATCCAGCTACAAAAACGTCGCCGCCCCTTTCCCCCTGTTCAGTAACCAGAATAGACCCAAACCAAGCCTGAAAAGCCCCTCTAACATAGATAATTCCCATGCTTCCCATCATCAATCCCCTTGCCAAACCTTGCTTTATTCCCAATTCCATGGTTTTTTGAAGTGCGTGGCTGAACCTATTGAGCGTCTGATGCTCTCCAACAAATGAATATACAGTTCTTATTGAAGAAATTGCTTGTTCTACAATCCCACCAGCAACCCCGTAAGATTCAACCATCTTCGACCCCACATCCATCATGAGCTTCCCAAATCCAAGTACTGGGGCAATGAACACGATGGTGAACGGTATAGATGTCAATGTAATCTTCCATGACAGAACAAAGGCAAATATCATGCAAAAGAAGAAGGATGACAGCATAGTCAAACAGTTGGGTATCTGCACATAAAAACAATAAGATTTCAATTACATAAAACAAGAGTGGGGAGAAAATTAAAAGAAGAAATTGTTTGATGCTGGAATGTTTTGATACCAACTGATGTAGGACAGATAGTTTGTTCTGATAGTTAATTGCTATTAGGCTACGTAATCCTGTTTATTGCTAGGCAAATTTGACAGTGTTTCCAAACCTCTTAATCTACATACAGAAGCTCCATGTTATTATTCACCCATATATATATGTGTGTGTGAGTGTGTGTGGTCTTTGAAGTGAAGATCCAGGCATACTGTTCTTTGTATGTGTTTCCTATTTACTATTGTCATTGGCTTTCAACCGTGGGTTGTTGTGCAACAGAAATTAAGAAGAACATGGCCACCGAATAAAGACCTTCTCTCCTATGGCGATTTGGATTGAATTGGAATCGGAGGAGATGGTTGAAACAACTTGGTAAGTTATTGAAGATTCAGCTGCTTGTGTGTCGAAGAAACCAACTTCTTGTCTAAGGATTGCTTTCAGGTATTCCATTCTCATTCGAGAAGTCTGTCTTTCAGAAGTTCTTGCCCAACAAAGTCCTTCTGCATAAATAAATGCCACCAAAATTGAAGTTCTGGTAGTAAAAGTGTAATCTTTATTTCTCATCGAGTATTATTGGAAGCAAAAAACTAGAGAGGATTAGGAGATGTACCAACAAAAGCAGATAATCCAACTCCAATCGCAACATAGAGCAGTTTGAGTGCATACTGAAATATAACAGATTTACAGTAGCATGTTAATAAGTGCATGTATCAAAGTCCATAAACGATAGACTGTATATCACACTTTCTTGGACTAATATCTTTTTCTTTCTTTTTTTTCTTTTGGTGATAGACTATATATGCTTAAAATTTGACATGCTATTGCATTTGCAAGTTAAAGTAGAACTTAACTAGAATTAGTGACAAAATTAGTTCTTATTAGAATTTTTTTTTCTTAAATGTATTTAAAGATCAAGTTTTAATAACGTCAACCAAACTACATTTTGGTAGGCTGTTTCCGAAATGATAATTAGAAATATGCTAATTACCTTGTTTACAACATGAATAGGCACCTTGGTACCGATGCTGCCATAATCATTGATCACATAACTAAGGGCGTACATCGTGAGGGGGACCTGCAACCCATCTCCAATGCAACCCAAAGTCCCGAAAAACATCAACAACTTGTCCACCCCATCAGCATATCTGAACATTCCATCCTTTCTACCCATATGATCCAATGTCTCCTTCACTAGGAGGGTTGAACAATTAACCTTCAAAGTCACAATCGGTATCAGTAGTGCTTAATTATTCATCTATACAAGCTCGTACGTTTCAACACGTATATATGTGTGTGTGTGTGTGTGTGCATTTGGTCAATTGTAGTTGATATTTTATTTGGATTAGATTCGTGTTTTAAGGTTAGTCCAAATGGTGAAAGCCAAAAAGAATGTTCAGTGCATCTTAGAATCAGCCGTCATTGTTTGTTTGTGTTAGTCAGGATATGGAGGGGAATGTTGGTTTCCACGATTTTTCAATTGGCCTCGCCAAGTACGCCTTTCATGTTTTTTTCCTCTTACTGCAACATTTGGATTCGAGAATATTAATATTTGTATTTGTACTTGTCGTTGTAGTTTTGATTAATAAGCCATGAACAAAACAAAATCACCAAGGTAATTGCGTTGTATTTGTAAGCGGTTCATATATTATAAGTCTAGCAATTCAATGATTTGAATTGTTTTCATTTCATGCAATAAGTGTCTTGGCTAGGACCGCCTAAAATTCACTCCCCCTCCTCTACTTTGCGTAGAAATCATAGATTGGTTTTGAGTCCATTGGTTCTAAATGGTATGATATGATGTTGACGACTCTGCAGCCCAAATTTGTGTCCCATCGTTTCCATCCCTTTCTTTAAATTGATCGATTCTATTTATTTATTTATTTATTTTTAAAAAGTTTGTATTAATTAGTATAGTATATATTGACATGAAATCTATGAAAGAAAAAAATGAGTGAAGGGTGGAAATCTTGGAGATCGAAGTGATTTAAGTGCTGGCGGTCTGTGAAGTGGAGTTTATCTCTTAAAGACTGAACTCTTTCGAGTCCTAAAAATAAACAATTTAACAAAACATCATATGTAGATCATTTGTAGTCGCGTTTCATACTAGGTGAAATTATATTGGTTTCTCCATTAGAGTAGCTCTGGACAACTCTTTCCTTTTCCCTTTTCTTGATTTACAAAATAAAAATAAAAAAAACAGGTTACGATGCAAAATCGATAGTAAGACTGGTACATCTGATATTTCCACAAACCTTGCAATGGTGTGGGAGTTTTGTGCACTGCCAAAGCTTTTTTTTTTTTGTTTTTCAAAAACAAAAAAAAAAAACAGAACTTTTTTAGGCAGCCACTAAGCAGCTTGGTTTGGTGATCTACGAGGAATCACAAACCTGAGGCACTCGAAGAACCATGACATGTATTGTTGTTATACAGAACAAAGGCTGCTTCTCCTCTCCTACCGAGTGCTGATGAAGAACATGAAGGAGGGTGGTGTTTTTAAAGGAGGTTTGTCGCCTGAAATGGCATTAATCAACATCTTTTTTGGATTGCCCGCGAAAACATTGGTGTCAAATTTGGCATTTATTTGGGATCATAATCATTATTATACGTTTGCAGCTTCTTTGAACAACCAACAGGAGTATATATGTGATGTTAACACGTTGGATTGTTCACGATTTGGTTACATTAGTGTCGGACTATAATAGTGACATTTTTATTTACAATTCACTTCTTTGAAATTGTAATCACTTGCCCATATATATGTTACTCCTCTCTGCTATTTTTCTATTTTAATAGTTCTTTTTTTTTTTATTAAACTAATTTTTTAATATTTTTTTATTATATTAGTAGTGAATGAATTACCAAATTTACTTTCATATGTCAACAAGTCTAGTAATGGACTAACCTGGCTATAGCCCAGGTCCAATTAAAAAAAAAAAATTAGTACTATTGTTCCTATAAATCCATGTACTACTCTTCCTATCAGCCTAGCCCAGCCCAAACTATAATATTTCTATAAATAAAAAGAGTTATAAAGTTTACAAAGATCAAACCTTAAATATGAACAAGTCCTCCACGAACCATGGACAACCCAATCACAAAAGAAAACATAATAAAACATAATAAGTCCCAGCCCAACAAACCAAACACATTGTTAGTCTATGAAAGAGGACCTAGACTCTTCGTGTGTAAGGCACTAAGACATAAGTGGATGGATATGGTGGATAAAAATTAATAATAAAAAATAAAAAAAAAAAGACTTTGTTGATGACTTGATGATTTCTTGTTAAATTGGGTAATTTACTATATTATGGATTAATAACTAGTCAGGGGTAGAATACATAGGTTTTACTTTCAAATGTGAATATATTGATACAGAACACATAGGTAATTTGCATTTTTGCAAATGTTTGTTTTAATACTTGTATAAAACATACTTCAATGAATTATTAACTATGAAAACACGTCAGAGTTTGGAAGTGTAACTCTGTTAGAAGGTTATAAATTACTAGGTTTAATTGAATGATTAATGCATAAGAATTCTGTATTTAGAGCATGAATGACATACTAAGTAATCATAAATTTAATTATTTTTAACTATCCTATTTAGCAATCATAGCTCCGCCATCGGTCTTACATTTAATTGTTCCATGCAATTTTTCCATTGACAAAAGAAAATGCAGTCGTTGCATATTGGTCTCTATATATATAAGTTCAGTCATTCAAACTCCCAAGAACTTGTGATTAAAGTGATTATGGCAATGTGCAACTAGATCCAAACACTTGTATTATTCTGTGTTCACAAAGAATACAAACTCAAGTGCCTTCCATTGCCAGTGCCCTCTGAACCTTAACTCTATTATATATTATTTTGGTTCCAAAATTCTATACCAAAATGCTTGTCCCATTCAAAAAATGCATGTACTATTTTTGTAAAATTTTTTAATTATCTTTTTGACTAAACAAATGTATTAATTTTGAAAGATAAATTTGCTTTTTAATAAAGATAAAGATAAATTTGTAAATTTAGGCTTATCAATATAATAAAAAATTATTAAAACTCCATTATAATAAGAAGTTGAATTTCCCAAGAATAACAAAACTTTTTCAAATTCATTTATGTTTTATTTTTATTTTATTATTTTAGTACACTCTGCTCTTCACTATGCTATTCTTCTGAATAGAGAGTAGACGATTCTTTCACATAATATGGTTTCATTATGATATTCATGGAGTAGATTGATTCGTGATAACAATGTGTCTCAAACATGAATTTAATTTTAATAGTCAACTCTCATGATTTCGAATCCATTTATTTATCCTAATGAATCTTAAAAAAGTGATTTCTCATTTCCTATTTAAGATTACATTGTGTATAAATATAATCAAAACGAATTAGCGACAAGAATAGCTTGCCTGCACCGAGCCTTGGCTTGTTCAAGCCTCTCACTCAGTGTCTCTTCTTTCACTGCAGCTTTAACCATAGCCAAGTCCATCTCCATCAGCTTCAATACCCTACACAGCTCAGTTACCATCCTATCCTCCACCTTTCCTTCCTCTCTCAGCACTTCTGCTTCTTCTCTCGCTCTCTCCGCCACAATCTCTCCGGTTTTCGCCAGCAACGCCGTGGACCCAAACTCTCTCCCCATCAGTTCCTGCAACTTCTCCAAGAAATCCATGATCACATACCCTGTTGGCTTCTCCAGTGGAATCTCTTTGGTTCTCTTCCACCCTATTTCAAAGCTCGGTGGCTCGGGTTTTACAAGCCCGGTTCTGGACTTCCTGTCTCTTATTATTTCGGATTTTCTTCGTTTTTCAATCGGAAAACTTTCTGGGTTGATGGTGGTTTCGGAGTTGGGACTTGGGGATGGAAAGTCAGGTTGTTCAGGGACTGAGTTTGAAGTGCATTTGATGGTAAAATGTCTTTGGCGTGGGAGGTTATTTTGGTTGCGGTAAGGGTGATTTAGATGAAGAGGATGTGCATGAGAGAGGAGTTGAAGGGCAATGGAAGCCATGATGGTTTGAAACCAAACTTGGAGTGGAAGAAGAAGATAAGCCTATTTGTCTCTATTATTATTGGTGATAGATATTTAAACCATTAGGCGTATAAAAGTCATGTAAAATATCTTTATTGGGGAACATGGTTCAAGCCAACCAAAGCAAGGGTAGGGTCTAGTCTAGTCTGAGTATCTAAATAGCAAACTGGTGCACGAGGCTTTCGTCGTGTGATAATTGCAAGGTATGTAAATCTATGATTAGGGAAATATTTATAAAACAAAATTAAAATTGGATGAACTTACGTCATCTGAACGCACCAAAATACCTCCAAGCCAGGCGTTTGGCTTTAGTATCCTAAAAAATTTAAACTATAAGGTGAGACTAACATCCAATGCACTTATTTTAATTTAAACTATTAGGTGATACTAACATCCAACTCGTGTACTCATTTTAATTTAAATTATTAAGTGAAACTAACACCCAACCCGTATGCACTCATTTTAAATATGATGAGATAAGGCTCCCCCGTTTACAATCACCACTACACATTATGAAAATCCTTGAGAAACAAATATACTTTACACTTGGACAACATTTAAAGTTTTGAATAGGTCGGTAAAAAGGAAAAGGATTTGAAGTTCTGAAGAATAACAAATTAAATATCAAACTATATGGATTATTCTCGAATGAAGTAAAGCTGTCTTTGAAAAATTGTTGAATTCAATCACAAGATATATTTCTTTAAACTTAACAGCAACCCATATAGAAGTGTCATCACTCTGATACAAAATTTCCAGTTGGATCTATGATCCTCTCTTAAATATACCTGATTAGTGTACACTCAGATCTGTATTGCATGTGTAGTAGTATGTATATACAAAAGTAAAAATAAAAATAAAAGAGCAAAAAAATTGGCAGAACTATATGATTGGGATTTTTTATCCCAAATATTGTACAGCAACAAAGACGATAAGAGAACTAAATTTTAGTCCGCAATTGTGCCAATAAACTCTGCATGCTCTCAAGCTTCTGACTCAGTTGTTTAACGTTGGTGAGATGCTGTAGAGAAGATTCTGAACCACATAATTCAGTGGTAAGAGCCGCACATTTGGCCTTTGAATCCAGGACCACCTCTTCAAGTGAAGCCACTGTTGATTCCAAAGTCGGAGTCAGGCTTCCACTGGTCACATTCAAAGACGTATTGATCCCGATACTGCCAGCACTACCACCATTTCTAAGCTTTTCCGGAGTGAAAATCTTGTCAAGTCCCTCACTTCCTGCAGTCATCAATTCTTAAAAACTATCAATAACCCAGTAAGGAGTACAACTCCATCAGAATCTAAGCCATTCCAGAAATTCAACCGATAGGCCATGAGAAGTGGGGAAAAGACAGTAAAGCTCAAGAAAGTGAGGAAAGAATTATGCAGTTCAAGGTGGAACCCAAACTCCAGGAGCTTCAATTGTCAAGAGCTTGTATCACAGTTTCAAATATAGAACAATAAAGTTAACAAAAATCTGAACCGTAAGGTTCTTTGAATCCTATTACCAAACAGAATTTTTACAGTGCTCAATCTTACACACGGCAATTCGATGCAGTATTTTGATTAAGTTAAAAGAATCCAGATATTGGATATCCAAATTCCAACAAGCAGGTAATTTTGTGTTCTACAACACTACTCAAATGACTAATAGACCCACATCCCATGTTAACACTCTTTTACTATTCGATTAAACCCCATGTAAGATCCACCCTTCTGAGTACCCACTAAGACGCTATATTTAAGATGCTATATTTCATTGACAGTATCATAAAGCTACTCGATTGACACTGTGACATTCAAACAACTTAGTGAAAGGGGGGGAAAACAAAAAACAAAATACTAAAATGGAGAGGTTTTTTTCTCAAAATTTTCATGCCACACCTCACAAAAATACATGGAGACTTTTAAGTTTTCCAGTAAAAACTGATCTTCCAAACAAAACACTAAAATGGAGAGGTTTTTTTAAATAAATTCATGCCACACCTCACAAAGATACATGGGGAAACTTTCAGTTTTCCAGTAAAAACTATCTACAGTTTTTAATTTTAAATTTTTTTTTTTTTTTGGGTAAATAAACTGAGCCACAGTTTCTATTTCAGGATTGGCAAAGTGAGCCAGTATTAGTAGTAAGCTAATTTATGAACAGAGATAACGTTTTAAGGTCTTAGAAAGACTTGAATCCAGGACTGGTGAATGATCCAAGACACAACAATAGATATTCACAATTGTTGATTTATTTGTGCTTGGTGTTCTTAGGCAAGGTATCTTCTACTTTTTCCTTATGCTTAGAGATTTCCTCAATTTCTTTTATCAATTTTTGTCAATCAAATCTAGAAACTAATAATGTTAATACTTGTCTCAATTTAATATACAGTTCCACTTATGAAATATCTAGATATCTCAATCTTAACCCTTTGGGTATTTATAAAGTGACTTCCTAATTCAAATTAGACTTCAAGGTTTCAAGGCTGGTAGAGAGCAGAAAGAAATAAATAAAGAAATAAAGATATTGAAAATACCAAGGTTGCTTAGTTGATTAATGGCTGCCTGGCCAACGGACCCTTCCAGCTTGAGTACCCGCAGGACTCCAGCAGCTATTCGACCCATTGAGTCGACCTCAGACTTGCACAAAAAAGCAAGGTGTTGCAGTTCGTCCTTTGTCACAATCGCCTCGATCTACCAAGTAAAGATCATTGTAACATGGCAATTCTTTCATAAGACAAATTAATTACTTAACAAATTAAATCTTATTACCGGCTGCTTCACAGAAAATCTCAAGTTTTCCACCACCCACTTGGCCATTTCATCGTCACCATCATCTTCAGAGACAACTATGTCAGCATCAAGATTTATACCACATGTCTCAACAGTTTGTTTGAACCCTTTTGCAGGTATACCATCTTGAACCATTTCCTTCCGTGCCTGGGGCTTTAAGGTCTGCAAGCCTTCCACACCTATCTGCATGCATCCATAAACTGTATGATATCTTGTAAGGAAAAAGAAATTATTGATTTAAAATCAATGCAAAAATGGGAAAGTAATGGTTATCAGCAAATCCACTTAGGAGACAATAACTGGTCACTAGGAACTGATGGTCCTCCGTTCAGGCTGATATTATTTCACAGCAAAACCAAACCAGATCTAGGTTTAAAGAACTAGCACAACCCATGCCCAAAAGCAATATAGTCAATCCAGACCCAACCAAACTCCAAAACTCTAAAAGCACAACACTAAACCCATACCAAAGCCAACATTATACTTCTCAACCATGGGGTGAAGATCAAATAAAACCAGACTTTCCAACTTCAGCTTGGGTTTGCTGACTGCTGGGAATGACCCGTTTGGCATAATGACAAGTGACAAGGTTGGAATTACGTCAATTGCAGCGTGGTCCAATCACGCAGAATCTCAACACCCACCAATGTGATAGTTGTTTCCAATTGCCAACCCAGAACCGTAACGACATTGATAAACCAAAACCCAGCTTTGTGAAAGACGAATTCGGCAGGACATTACCACTTCACTTTTCATGAAAGAACAGAAGTCCCAACAACCCACTTATAACGAAATAACCGCCCACTACGAACAAACTTGAAAACAAACAGATTAACCAAACATAGCAAAGGACAGAAGTCTCAACAACCCACTTATAACGAAATAACCACCCAGTACGAGAAAACAAACAAACCAACCAAACATAGCAACCTTTAGTATCTTATCTAGGCAGTACACTAACCTTGTCAGATGGACACCAGCAAAATGTTGTAGAGACATCTAGATTTATTCAACTCATGTAGACTAAATATTAAACAAAACTAATGCACCAAAAAAAAAAAAAAAAAATCCTTGAAATTTAATTAAATTCAATTTGGATTTAAGTTGTACTATTAAAACCTTAAATCATTATTTGTATCTCAAAAACCAACTTAGCTTTGAGAAAATGAAATAGATTCTTACCGTGACCAATTCAATGGGAAATTGCAGTCTTCCAGGAAAAAAAAATTCCTTGAAATTTATTAAAATTCAAAGTGGATTTATCTTGTATTATTAAAACCTTAAATCATTATCTGTATCTCAAAAACTAACTTAGCTTTGAGAAAATGAAACAGATTCTTACCGTGACCAATTCAATGGGAAATTGCAGTCTTCCAGGAGATTTCCCCTTGCCATTTACCAAATGTTTTGGACTACTTTTTGCTCTCACTTGCAAACGCTGGAAAGTCGTGTGCCAGCACCTCTTTTCTCTGCCAAAATCAGGATTGCAGAACCACCAACTTTCTGCCATCTCTTGTGCACCTTCGAGAGCAAATAACCAATCTTTCAATTCTATGCATACATCCACATCATCCGGTGTACCCAAGTGCAAGAACCCATTGTCTCTCCCATCTCCTGAATTTCCATCTGGAGAGGAGAAGAAAGAAAAGGTGGAGGAGGATTTAAGATAACTACACTCAGGAAAAAGGTATTACCGAAGATAACACGCAAAAAATATAGCATATAAGATGAGAAAATTTTCAGTCCATACTCTCTTTGAGTTCATCCACAGTCAGAGGAGATGCCTCAAAAAGTTTTGACAAAGGCCCTGCAGATAATCTCTCTAGTCCTTTGGAGAGCCCCTCCCCAGGACCACCATCAGGCCCAAATATTCCAAATCGATGCAGCAGGGCTTCAGCATAATTCATTCCACCCCCAAGGCGAACACCAGCAATACTAGCTGACATACTCAAACTATGGCACTCCATATCCCGTGCATCATATGGAATGACTTGCACCATGCTTATATCTAAAAATGGAACAGAAAAGGCATTGCCATTTGAATTACGATTCCTTCTGTTTTGCACCCAAAAGACAGCTCTCAGTTGGGGATGTCCATTCCCAGATATCGTCAGACCATTTTCATTAGAAGTAAACACACTGCCATTCTCATGTGCAAAATTTCCGTCAGTGTCTGCACATTTCACCTCAATACTCTCCCAAACTAATTTGGAAGAAATAGCTACTGCACCACCCAGGGTTCTATGAGTAACTTTGATAAATAAATCTTCTCCAACAAACTGAACCAGAGGCATTCCTTGTATAGCAATAGGAGAAGATTCCAGAAATCTTAGCTGGAGGTCCTTCACAACTAAGCTTACAGCAGTATCACCAGGAACCTTCTCAATCAATCTTCCACCCAAAGATTCATATTCATTTCCTTTTTTCTTCGGTCGGTTACTTTTTCCAACTGCAGCTATATTTTCAGCAACCCTACCAAAGTAGGTATAGAGATCCAGCACAAAAAACAACTGCTCAACCGAAGTGTTGGACACATATTGTTGACAAGCAACTCCTACTCTGACAATACCTCCTGGAGGAGGAACATTTATTAATGGGCACCCATCTGCAGTTGCCATTGCTACCTCAATACAAGAATCTTTCAGCTCAACACATCTCCATGAACCTAAAGACGAGATATGGGAACTTTGAACTCCTGTTGATCCATCAAACATCTCTAGAGACAAACTAAGGAGAGAAGCTCCAGTTGTCCATTTCTTCTGGCTAGCATCAACAGGTTGATTTTCCCAGAAACAGAAGCAAGCAGCGTCCTTTTCCAGATTCAGTAGCTTGAGTTTTAAGGAAGGTGACTCCGAAAAGAATAAATTCTCGATATGAAGATTCGCTCCGGTGAAGGAGCTCTGAAAAGTAATGTTGCCATTGCCAGCAGGGTATTGTGGTTTTGCCATCTCCAGAGGAATGGTGATATCTATTTCTTTGAGATTGAATATGAGGGAGTTAACTGAAAATTCCGGTAAAACAGCGCCAGGGTTGACAACAATTCCATCAGCTAAGAAGGAAGATATTCTCAGACAGGATTCTTCATGAAGATAAATCTGGGTAAAGAATGGGGAGAATGATATTAGAAAGTAAAACAATCAGAACAAACAAATGGTATGAGGTTTTTTATTAAAATAATAGATAAATACCATAAGAGGTTGACAGTTGATAACTGTTTGTGAAGCAAAAGATGGCGGGACTGGGGATGGCTTGACCTGAAGAGAATGGAGGCATATTAGAGGAACACCCTCATTTAAATGCCACCACTGGTCTCCTAATGGATATATTGGAGGACAAAAGTTCTCACCTGCCCATAAAAAACAGAAGAAAGATATCAACTTTAAATGAGACATCCAAGTGTACCAGATTAAGAGCCAACCATTGGGTATCTCCCTTGGGAATAGATGGACAAATTAAAGAATACCAAAATCCGGAATGCCCAAAGGATCTATTGTAGCTTCCTGCACCGACGGTTGCACTAAGGTGTGTGGAGGGCGAGAAAACACATCCCTGCATTTAAACCAATTAACCCAAATCAACTAAAAGAAGAAAGCAACATCCAATTATATGGGGTGTTCCATATAACTCATACTTGACATATTCTCTGCTCGGTCACAGTATAATTATGCGCCTTTTGCTTTCCAGTGAACCACCCACCAATAGAAGAAAAAAAATGCTTTTTAAACTTTACCAACAAAGATTGGCCAAGAATTATGAAAATAGACTGCAATTTTTCACATATACAGAACATAACCATTTCATGATAACTGCCGAAAGCTAAATAATATATTAATAAATAAATCAGCACTAATAAATACCTGAACCATGTTTAGCATTTACAAACATATAATATTATTCCAAATAAAAACTGCTAAACCTTCAAGCAGCACCACCAGACAACAAAATCAAATTTATGTATGTGCTTACTAAAATCTCAAAACCTGATTGGAACTGTGCGAGAAAATTAACAGGCAACAGATGTATGGTAAAGTGGACATGCAATGCAGTATACCTTAAAATTAATCCAGCTAACATAACTTGAGTCAAGCATTTCGCATTTTCTCCATCAGAAACACTTGCCTGCAATAAAAGTGCAACATTATATGTAAACTTGAACTGCATAAAAGCCCAGAAATCATACAAATAATAATATAGAACTGCACAAGAACCCAAGGGAATGCATAGCCACCCACAGCAAAGGTGTCAATCTTATTGAAGTGTCACAGAAAGATACCCGGGAAAGGTAAAGTGACTGCATTAAAAGTTCAAGCTGGAAATCTGCAAGTAAGACTGATTGTTAGCAGAAGATATGGCGAAACAACTCGTAGAGAACTTAAGATATAAAATAAAATATAACAAAACAAGAAAGAATCTAGACACATTTGAAAGGGAATCAAAGACAAACCAGCATCCTTGATGCGGAGAAATATGTGATCCACGATAATAGAGACTATAGAACGTCCTGCAGCTTCCGTGGAACGCTACGAGAGAGGGAGACAGAGAAGGAACTAAGTTGATATATGTATATAGCTAGCTTATGCAATAATGCTAAGTTTCAAATTTGGACAAAGGATACACAATAACATTGACTTGAACCTGTTGATCATTTGGATTCACATCTCCTCTATTTAGACAAACATATAATCCCGTCAAGAAGCGGAGTAGAGCACGTAACCCTGCTCACATTATGGTGCCTAGTCAGCATGCCATTCATGTAACTTACAAAAGATGCACTAAGAATGCAAGAAAAAAATATAGAACATTTAACTTTCCTGGTTCACTTAAAGCAGGGCAAACAGCTTCTGTAATATGCAACTTAACCTCAAGACCCAGTGGACTATTTAGTTCTGTCCTCTGTATTGTGATCTGATCATATAAAAAAGTTAAAAATTACTGATAAATAGCATTCACATTAATACTGATAGTAATTATTAGCTTAACATTGCTCTCTAGTGAAAAGCAAAGTTCACTAAAAATCAAGTTAAGTGTTAAATTATTTTTAATTACATTAGCCTGTCCCGATATTCCTTCAATGAATCGCTCCCCGCCAAAAAAAACTCGTTTTGCACCATCATCGTCTTTCCTGTTAGGTCCCTCTTCGGAGTATGCAGAATGAGCTTCCATGAGCATATCAGGATGAGGAAGGAGATCAATCGATAAATGTTCCCATTCAAGTTTCTGGTGGGGAAAAAATAGCACATTACGAACTGATATATATAAATGTGGATATTACAAAAATCTTCATTATTAGAAAAAGACAAAAACTAAAATTATAATTATAAAACAGACACGTTCAGGAGTAAGCACACATGATACAACAGCTGTGCTGAATGTGATTAATAACCAAAGGATGTTGTTAAACAAATAGAGTAGAGACCACCCTACCCTGCAACCCATAAATATATATAAATAAATATAATGTATACATACATATATTTATAAACGAAAACAAATGGCTAGAATAATTACTTTAAACACATAAATGAACTTTTTGTCATTGGAGAAATCCCTTGCTTCCTTAAGATTTACAACCTGTTACAAGTAATTGTTTCCGTAAGCAATTGTCCACTAGAAACCAGCTAAAAAAACAATTGTACAAGAATTCTACTGATATAACCTGCCAACTTTCATTTGTAGTATAGAGCAAGAGATTGCGTATAGTGATAGACGCCATAGGTGATGCCCTGATGAAAGAGGAGAAAATGAAAAGAGAGTGTCAATGAAGGGTAAGCACTGAAACTTGCATAATAAACAAACTTAGCCCAAGTACGGTTTTATGTGGATAATGCTTAGATCCTTCTGACAAAATTAAGCAAAATAAAATATAATCTTCAAGTGTAAAGAGCATCAGTTCCTATTTATGTGATGAATCAATATGTACCCCAGCGAATTAAGATAGACAACAAGCACATGAATTAGAATTAAATATTTAATTTAGATCAACACAGCAACATCTCCATTTAAAGATGATGGCAAGAGAAAGCAAAACTGGAGCGGCCCTCAAGTTACAATGTCAAGAATAATCGAAAGAAATTCTAAATTCTCGAGTTAAGAAAGGTTATCGGTGGTGTTCACCTTACAACTGAACAGATACATGATGGAAGGAAAAAATCAAGCAACCAGTAGAAGTAGCACCTATGCGAGGGGCTTTCGGCAGTGATGTAACCTAGAAGCTTTTCATCCAAAACAAAGTTTTTGAGTTGTTATGATTCAGTACCAACTTTATTCACACGTTTTTATTTTTTTATTTTATTTTTTTTGTTGTTTATGACTTCTGAAAAGTTTACAGTTTTTCACGATTTAGTTAATACCATATTTTTCCAAGGATTTCTTCTTCTTCTTTTATTTGGTTAATTGGCCTCCTTGAACGTGTTTACTGGTCCTTTAGAAGTTTAAAAGTACATATGTGTTTATAAGGAAGAAAGCGATAGAGGTGGCAAAGGAGGGGAGACCAGCACATGAACACAGAGTTTCATGTTAAAGGGAAAAAAAAACTTAAAACAAATATTGATTAAACATTCCATAAGAGACACACAAAAGCCAATATCAATTTTCTGAAATTAAAATTATATCAAGCTAATTAGATCTCAAATCTAAAACATGTCAGACCTAAAAATCAGAATTGGAATAACATCTTTAAAGTCAAGTATGAATAAGAGGTTTCTCTATGGAAATTTCATTTACCTCAGCACATATAGAACATAGACAATCAAAAATCAGAGGATGAGCAATGCAACAAAATGATGAAGTCAAAAGAAGAGATCCAAAAATTCAGGAAGCCCAAGAGTCAAGCTGATAAGTAAAAATAGAAGAAAGGTCCCACAGTTATTAATGTTACAAATTACAACAGGACCTTGAAGTTATCTACCCTTTATGTCATGATTGTAGCTTACAGTTCCTTTTTCATTTTCTCTTTTCTTTTCCTCTTCTCCTTGTACTGGAAGTGGTCATATTCATTTCTAGTCTCCTTGTACTGTGAAGGTATGCCTTCACTATCTCATGTACCTTTTTAGTTCTCTCCTTTTATAAAATATCCCCATTCAGAGAAAACAAAAAACAAAAAACCAAAAAACAAAAACAAAACAAAACAAAAAAACAGCTTACAACACGTTAACCAAACAAGCATTTGCAGGGAAAAGAACACACAATATGAAGTGCATGCTGCATAAAAAGGAGGTGACAGTTATTATCAAATGAAGCTGTAGAATATATGAACTTTCCAGATGAACACAAGACTTCACACAATACATCTATATGGGTTTGTCCAACAGTGCAAAAAATCCTGTCAAGTCAGCATAATGTTCCTTTAGCTGAATACCAGTAAATGCAGAAGCAAGGTAATATGAACACAAGCAGTGCAGCAACAATTGTAGACAGTCATCATTAACTTAATTTGTCAACTGATTCAAAAATAAAAAGTTTTGAAAAGAGTTCCATAAATTAGGTGAGCAGAACAGGTCAGAGAACATCGTTGAGGAGAGAGAGAGAGAGAAACAGAGAGAGATGCCTGCTTAGAACTAGATAACAGTTTTCATCACCACAACATCAATGACTTGAGAGTTGCTTTAGAATTGATCGCAAGATACTCATATGTTGAATGAAGATACCAAAAAATAGATTATAAGATATCGTTCGAATTCGAAAAGAAAATCGTCCTTCTTCTTGATCAAGAGGCCACTAATTGCAGCTGAGACGTTCTTAGGATGTATAACAAATTTCAGTTGAAGATAAAATTTATATAAAATTATAAATATAGATACATAGCTAATGCATTATTGCGGCAATGATGATGAATTCTTTAAAGTATTCTCACCACACATGTCAGCATGTATTTCTGAACCAACAAGCATTTATAGAATTAACCAAGTAAGTCACACCGGGGGAATCACTAGCTTGCCCCAACAGGATACAACAAAAAGCCAACAGGTTACAAGATTGTCATCAGACGTGCATGACCTATTGGAATGCTTTTAGCATGTAGTTGACCAGATAAAGGTTGATATGGTTCTTGGCAAAGTTCCACCAGAGCAGTGCCTTTCCCAGTTCCCATTCAACATTCATTCCCCTTGCATACTTCTACTGCCCTACCTAGATGATCAAGATTCTTATACACAAAGACTCAAAGTTCAGTAGCTAGTTACAAATAGTTGGCAGGGCAGCCAAGCAAATAATCTCCTCTTTCAGCATAAGGGTGCTTGGATTTGTTTAATAACAATTAGGAAACAATTAAAACGGAAATTTTTCATGGACTGGACATTGATGAGTTCTCTCTCCTTGTCCAGGTAGGTCATGAATTGTGTCAAACTATATCCAAACAACATAGACAACCAAACACAGATGTATAAGATGGTTGAGGCTACGAGGAATTACCAGGTTGCTCCTCCCCGTTGTCGAGCGCCTCCATGAGTTTCAAGTAGAAGATTGACAGTGTGCACTTCCACAGTCATTCCATCCGCAATCTGATAATTTAAAAAGTCAAACAGTATATTTCAAATCCAAGTGTCAGCACAATGGTGGTCCCAAGTCCATATAGGCCTGGTGTTACAAGGGCATTTGTCCCACATCGGATCCGGATGGGAAAGTGATTGGGTATAAATGGGTGGGTATGCAGCACTACCCAACAGTTTGAGTTTTTGGGTAAATAGGCAAGCGCCCACCCGTTACACCTAGCTTGTGGCCAGCAAGCCCAGAATAAAACCATATCCAGCCCAAGTGAAGATGAATCTTGCAAAAACTTTTTGTGCTTACGCATCAAAAATAAGAGTATAATCTGGTACAAGTATTCTGTACAGAGATACAATCTAAAGTTTTTTTTCTCACTGTGAAAGATATGATCTAAAGTTGTCAAGAAAACTGTCCAATCTGCAAGAAAACTAGTGCATAGCAAACTAGGCAGCATCCTTGCTTTTCAGGCCTCTTTGTCCTCCTATAAAGCTTATGTAAACAATAAGATGCTACTGAGTATGTGTTATCTAGAAAACAATAATAATCAAGCAAATAGGGGCATTTTTCATAGTTGACCAAGACAGCTAATAAACTAATGGAAGGGTTTGGAATGTGATAATATAAACAAATTGCCAGAGTGAAGAAGGCATGCAAACTCAAGGGAATGAGGTAGGCTTGCACAAGAAGAAAATTCGGAAGAGAAAAGTATTCATAATCCAAGCAGTTGCTTAGAAGGTCCTCTTTAATTAAAGTATAGCATCAATCCAAAGTTTTTGGATCACCGGAACAGTTTCAATAAAACATTTTTTTTAAAGGCTAGTACTTTGTGCCTTACACTATGCCAGAATATGTATACGGACTCACATTCTAAATGAACTGGCATAAATAATCCAATTGAATCTTGTCTACCAGACTGTAACTTACACAATATTCCCGTCCCTCCAACTCAAAACAGTTTCTTGCAAAAGATTATTCCAAGGATCAAAAATCATGCAGGCAGCAAATTGTTATAAAAACATATGTTAAATTTTATACTAATTAAGTGATAAATCATACCTCTATAGTTTTAAGTTTTCACGAAACACTAACCAATACAGCAAAAGAGAGAAAAACTTCACCAACGAGATACTCTTATTGATGCAATTTTCAAGTATTTCCCTCCGCAACATTGCATGACACCTCATCAAGAAAATAACAGCAAATGATTTTTAACACCATTGCCCTATTTGGATGTTGGAAAGAGCAAGAAAAGGAATAAGAAAGTTAAAATTAACTTCCTTCTATAGCATTATTGAACATTTTGCTTTTCTTTCACCATTTCTTTGCAAGTCCTAGATGGTACTGGTACATAAGAGAATTCCGTAAGTGATTACATGCTAGAGGTCCTACCAGTGAACAAAGTGCTATTATATGCTCCCTTGATTTAAAATAAAAACTAAGATAAAAGAAAAAAGAAAAGAAAGGAAGAAAGTGAGGTTGGAAGGCAGTGGGTGTTTTAACTGGGGTAGAATGAGTGGAGTAAGCAATTGCAAATTTTTGCTCCTCATTAAGAGAGAGATCCTAGAAGAATAAGGAACGCATAAGATATTGATTTTACATGTTATCAATTACTTCAATCCTCGCCCTTTAGCATTCCAAAGTTCTAACTAACAACTTTAAATATCTGTACTCAAGTCTTCTTAGAATAGAAATCCTTTCCAAATTTCAAAATGATCATGGTATCCACATCATGGAATGTAACTAGACATCTTTTTCCTTAAATATCTACTGTTTAAAATCCAAGGTAATACTATGAGCTCTACTGAAAAACATGCTGTCATTTACATCCCTTTCTCAATCACCCTTCTTTTGTTAAGCCATTAATCTTTGTATATGCCTTTTTTCCATTCTAGAAATTTCTTGCAACCAATAACAACAATTCGGGAACGGAAAAAGTTACAAAAATTTTGAAAAATGAAAAACACTTATATACTGTAGGTTTGGAAAAGAAAATTACCATATATTCAAGTTTTTGCTTCCTAGGTTTTCATAATACAAACTACATACCTGAATGCCAAATAGTGAAATTCAACTTCCCAAAATAAGACTAACCTTGTCAGCAAATCCATAACCTCCTCTTCCAGAGCTGGTGGACGATTGTGCACTGCAAGCGAGGTGAAAAGAGTAATACATTAAACCCTCCCAACAAACGACAAACTCTTAAATCCAGTCTTAAACATAACATGAGGCTGAAATGGAATTGTATTACCTGCTTGTGGTCCGACATTCCAGGTCATCATTCTCCTCCAGCACCACATCAAGCCTATCAATTTGGACAACAATCGGCTCTATTTGAACATTACTCACAGAGGGAAGCTTCAAAATCAAACCAATCAAACTCAATTAGGAAAATTACAAGAATACCCTACTGCAAGCAGCAATGACATATTAAATAAGGAACACGATAGTTAGAGCAGAAAGAATGTATTGAGGCCCTGTTTGGTTGGTGAGAAAATTATATTTTGGAATTTCATTTTCTGGGAACCCAATAATGACAACCTCCGATAAAAAGAGTGTAAAACAATACTTGGACAAAGTTAATGCTATAAAGACTCAAAATTTAACATTCTTATATTCCGATTTTTTTTTTTTTTTTTTTTTTTTTCTCAGCAACAAACAGAACACAAAAATCATAACAACAAAGTGTCAAAGAATGATCAATAATCCGAGAGTTCGATTAAATTAAGAAGTTACCAACCATAATCTCCAACTTTCCGACCTTCGCCGTGGTGACATTCAACGCCGGTGGCAACCCGAGACTCGCATGCAAAACATCCCCATTTAAATCTACCCAATTCCAACAAAAAATTAAAATAAGAAAAAAATCACATAAAATACGAAACGCTATGTTTGGGAGCACAGAATTGGTGCTTTAGAACTGGATTACGAGGGAAAATAGTCCAAACTCTAGGCTAATGTTCTCAAATTCCAATTCCAAGCATTGATTCCTTTCTTCCAAACACAACCTAAATAAAATTCCACTTTGATCTCTAGTTTAACAATAGAATTCCCCAAATTTCGACTAATTAGCAGAAAGAATAAGAACAACGTTTTACCTAAATTGGAAAGTTGTGCAGTGTGCCCCTGCAATTTGAACTGATCTCTGGTGAATGATTTGAGCCAGTACTTCAGCGTGTACTCTAAAGCTCGTGCTAGTATCGACTCCATTTCGAGATTATCACGTCGACTCAGGTGTTCTATAATTTTCCAGATCTAGGAGGCGCTTGGAAATGGAGGTGGCGGTGCCGGGAAATCAAAATGTTCGGGGCATACGGTGGCTGCGTCGTCGATGGGAGACCGGAAACCACCAGATCGTGGTTGGGGGTGGTGGCTTTGGGTCGGTTCGCGTGGTGTCAGAGAGAACTTTTAAGGTGGCAATATCAGGCGCATTGGGCTGTGTAATTCGCACGTGAGAAGATGGGTGCTGCGGTTCATGTGGTACGTGAGAAAGGGGATGATTGATGAGGGTGAACAGTGGGACCTAGGTTATTAAACATTCCGGTGCCTTTTCAATAATTGGCCGTTGATCACAGAAAGTGTGAAGTGACGGTAAATGATTAAGTTGCAAGAAAGGGAAAGGTTAATGAATGTTGAGAGGATTGTAGCCGATGCATCGGATCTTGGGTTCTGTGTCAGGAACAGGTCACAATGGGCGGATGACTGTCAGGAGAGGATTAATTTGTCGGTGTCGTTTGTAATGCTTCTGGGAAAACAACTTTTTATATTGTAGTACTGCACCAGTTGTTTTTTGGGACCTGTTTATCTTGATGTATATAACATTACAAAAAATTAAAATTTTAATATTTTTTCATTTTATAAAAATAAAATGAAAATTATACCCTTATTTATCTCTAGATCACTGACAATTTACTAACATAAAGGAATGATATTATTTCTTCCAAGTCACCTCGACTTTACTCAGTCCAAATGTTATACTTTGTCCAATTGTTATGCATAACAATATATGTGTATGTATATATATGAGGTGCTTTTTGACCTTGCCTTGATTTGGAAGAGAGATCCACATGTTTCCATTGACAACTATAGAATAAAAGCAAAATAAATAAATGAGAAGAAAAAAGCAAGCATGAAAATGAAGGGCATAGCTACACTCTCGATTGGTTCTCTGAAAATTTGAAAATGTTAGAAAAATAAAAATAAATAAATAAATGAATACTTGTTTGATTGGACCGCCCACAGTCTACTGCGTGATCCTTAGCTAACAGTTTTTGTTGTGGGACAGGAGCCAAGAAATTAACCTTTTATTTTTTGCATTATACTTTAACTTAAAATAAAATAAGTGTTTTCAATAATAATTGAAAGTATATTTAATAAAATCTATTTCTTATAAAAATTTTAAAAACAAAACATAAAAATATATTTAATATAAAAGCGTTTTAATTTTTAAAAATATAATGGTTAATTTAAAAATATCAGAGTTTTTCAAAAAAATTACTATTCAATTCATCAATACAGTACCAAATACAGTTCAGAATTATATATAAAAAATCAAATTGATGTTTCGATTTTTTGTCACTATTCACAAAATGTTTTGGCATTGTATATAAAAATAAATAAATAAATAATTAAAAAAAAATTACCAAAAGCGTTTTCAAAGGTATAAAAGTAGAAAGGAAAACTAAACCCCTTGATTTGTGAAGTATTTTCAATAGTAATCGGAAATATGTTTTCAATTTTTTTTATACCCTCTAAAATTATTATTTTATAAATTATTATTATTTTTTCCAAAAGAATTATTTATTGACCTCAATTATAATGAGTTTGGAAATAACTACAAGTCTACAACTTATATTCTTTTGAATTTCATAAATTTTAATTAAACCTTTTTAGCTTCACTTCTGAGTTATGAAGTCCAAATCATCTGAAAAAAAGTGTAAATCCATTATTTTGGTGGTTTTTGTAATATATTATTACCACATTTACATTTGTATATATGTACATATGTATAAAAAATAAATTACATATATAATAGCGATTATGTGATTTTTAATATAGATACGTGATCCTTTAGGGTTAGTTTGGTGTGGTGGAATGGAATAAAAGAAGGTAGAATGGAATGATTTTTTTTTCCAATTTCGTGTTTGGTATCAATTTTAAAGTTAGAATCACCATTCCCCACTATTGTTGAAAAATGTCCATTTCATCAAAATCATTCCACTTTTAAACAAAATGAATGAACATTCTCATTCCCGCCTCCATTCTCATTCCATTTCAATTCATTCTACCACGCTAAATTAGCCTTATTGATATACATTTTTGTTAGTGTTAATAAGAAAAATATCTAAATCGACAGGTCTTTGGATAATAGAATAATGAAAATTAAAGTTTTGTGATACTAAGATAGCAAAATTACCAATGATATCTTATATACTAATATTTATAGTTGTTACTTGTTAAATGACAAATTCATTAGTATTTCTCCATTTTGTTCCTAATAATCGTTTTCACTAAAGCTTGTGAAATTTTGTTTATTTAAAATTGATATGTACAAATTTTTTTACTAATGTTTCATCAAGATAATAATGATATATCTTTTTCTAAGGGAGAATCAATGTACTCAAATTATTATTATTTTAAAGTAATTGAAACAATCGCTAGAGATTTTTGTTTTTTCTTTTTTTTTACCACTCCTCATTTTATATGTACCTTACCTTTTCTCTATATCTTATTCTTCCTCCTATCAAATTTTCATCTTGTTTCATCTTTCCATATTTTTTTATTATACTTTCCTCAATATATATACTGAGACTTAAATTTTTACAAATATAAAATTTAAGTACTTTGACTGGGTAGAAAATTCCTCTATCCCACAATCTGTTGCCGTTATAGATTTTATAAAATATTTCATTTAAAATGATGATAATTACGTATACTAAATATTACAAAATAAAGTAAATATACATATTACAATGACCAAAGGCTGGTGATGTCAAATTTTTATTTTTTAAATGATGTTAGGGGTTCAAATCTTATTGAAGGCATGATTATTAATGTGTGTAAATATCAACTAAAAAAATAAGTTGTATATATATTCCCTCCGATTTCAAAATAAATATCTACTTTAAGAATTGTGAATCACAGTTTTTAAAGCATACATAATTATAAATTATAATTTTTGAAGTAGACATTTATTTATAATTTTTGAAGTAGACATTTATTTTAGAACGGAAACTAATCCCACGAGATGAACACTCTTTTGAACAAAATTAATATTACTAGTCATGATGATGATCAATAAACATCTGCTAATAAGTTATTTGGATCATGTGTTCATATCATGATGTGAAATATCAAGTTATTAAGATATGATTTATTAATTTAATTTAATTTTTTTATATATAAAGGCACATAAACTAAGATTGTCATGTACAGTGGAAAGTGAAAAAGTAAAGTTGTCGACACATCAAGATTTTATGAACACATAAGAGTCGGACACGTTAGAATTTCTTTGCCTTTCCCTGACCCACCCATGTTGTAATACCTCACTCAGCTTTAGTCCTTTTCTGGTTTCCATCTGTTTTCTGATTGATGATGATGTACAGATACAGCTAAATATGGTCTTGAACATTACCTTCCAAAAATAAAAATAAATAAATAAATAAATGGTCTTGAACATTCCATAATTAAAACTAAAAAGAAAATACAAGGATGATAATTAAAACTAAAAAGGGGTATCTTTGTTTGACAAATTAGTAATGGCTTTCAGAAGAAGAAAAATGTAAAACTATTTGAAACACTGTTGATAATTTGATATGTAATTATCATTAACAGATTTTTTTTTTTTCCTCTCTTCAAAATACTGACGAGTCCTAAGTCCTAACAACTCTCTATAAGGAAATTAAACAAAGTCCTAATTTTCGGGAAATATTTTCACGTATGCTTTAAAATCTCACAAATGTTTAATTCATAGGAAATATTTTACTATTTTTATTTATTTATAGTTCATTAGTAGTTACTGTTTAAAAATGAAATTTCTTGTTTCTATATTCTTCTTAAGTTTCAATAAATTAATTTCTTGCGTAATATAGTTAGTAAAATTTCAGCATTATAATAGAAAATTTACACTTTCACCATACAAAATGAAAATAGAGCTGGAGCTTTACAATTAGGCCATTAAATAATGTTTAATTTAAAATAAATACAGTATTAAATACAATATAGTGTACGCAGAGAGTATAGAGGAATTTGATTCTAAGTTCCGCAACCAATCAATGTGAATATTAAAAGTTACCAGTTTTATTTATTTTATTTTATTTTTCCCTTAAAAGTTACCAGTTGGCATTTACCAATCTAAATACAGGAAGGTTTAGGTAGATGAGAAAAATAGAAAGTGACGTGTACCAATCTAAAAAAGAGGTTACACCTTAAATAACTCGTACAATTTTCTTGTTTACTCTGTAATTCATTTCCATACTCTCATGAATTCTACCGACAAGCAACTTAAATAATGGTAATGCCCTAATATGTTCCAGAGAATATTAACCTCTCTTTAACAAATTGTCTCGTGACAGCAAGAATAACAATAGCTTAGCGATATCCTTTTGTCTCTCAAATGAAAGACATGAATTCGAATTTTAATTGTTTTATTTATTTTAAAGGTCACAATTTTATAGTTCTCGCAAGAACAAATGGTAATGTGAGTTTTTTGTCTAAAAAAAAAAAATGTATTAATATTTTCGGACACCATCCTTTCTATGGGACATCTCTTTCCTACTCTCTTCAAAATTAATCTAAAGGCTAGTATTAAGACACATCATTTGTCAAATCTCCCTTTCCCTCTTTCTCACTCCTCTTAACCTCTCTTGTTCTAAATCTTAGATACTAAAACCAAAATTTTCTCTTCTCTTTTCATTAACTTTTATATCCAATTTTTTTTCTCTTCTCTTCTTCATTAACTTTTATATCCAAATTTTGCTTCCCCGAATTTTGATCTGCCGGCTTCTTCAACTTGTGCTAAATGTAATATATATACACATAAATAAAAGAAAAAAAAATTGATTGATTCTGGAAATAAATAATGAATGGTGTTAAATCTAAAACCTTAATTAATTTTCAGAGAGACCCAATGGATTCCTTGATTGATATATTTGTTTATTAATTTGTTCTGATTTTTTTTTTTTTCTAAAACTCAACGTATATTTATGATTATTCAATGGTGAACTGAGCAAAACCTAAAACCTCAATTGTTGGTTTTGAAGATGATACAAAATCAGGAGCAATATCCAAAGAAGAATCACGATTTGAGAAAAAAGAGTAGGTTGTGGATAGGTTAGTTTTAGAAGGAGCAGGAGAGAGATGTTTCAAGGAGAGGATCCGTATCAATATTTTCATTGGCAAATGAAATTTTTTTTATGTTAGGATGTATATAATCTCTTGATTTTGGATTAGGCATGGTTATGTGTTGGCAATACTCTTAAATAAGCATGATATGCAAAAGTAAAACAAAAAAAAAAAAAAAAAAAATGAAAAAAAAAAAAATTTTGATTCTTAGTTCCTACTACTATAATTTAGCAAAGAATATTGGCGTATTCAATTGAAAATGTTGGGATTGCTTGTAGCGTGGTTTTACATATTGAATTGGTTTCTACTTTGAAGCGTACACCAACATGACTTTTTGAAAATCTCCAAACGTATCTTTGACAATCAAAACATGCTTGTGCAGAAAGAAAGCTAGCCGTACGGTTCTCATCGGATTCCATCACCGTCGTTCTCCTTCCCTTGCGGTTTTTCCATGCCGCATCAAACACCAAACTTTCGTATTCCCACGCTATCTCCACCGTTCGTTCAACAACTTTAGTGGGCTTCTCGAGGAGTCAAGCTACATGAGCCGTTGATTCTTAGTGTAACCGCGTAACCCATTCTACACTCGCTCTCAATCCCTATACCCCCCGTCTACAATAATTACTATGAATAAATTAGTGTAATTATACAGCTCATGCTCATCTTGTTGAAAAAGTATATTAGTTTACACATAATTGTTTGATAGACCTAAAATTAAGGACCAAATTTTTTTATAAGTTGAAACTTTATTTGTTAATTATAAATTCAATTTTTTAATTGTTTTTTCAGTGTTCTTGTGATATATGTAATCTTATTTTTATTTAAAATTTTAATCCATCCATGAATGCACACAATTTGGCCGCCACTACATACAATTAAGGTCTCGCCTTTGGCGAGTAACAAACTAGAGACATAAAATGAGTACTATCAAAGCCCTTACTAGTTGTGTACTTGTGTGAGCTATTCAGAACTTACAATTATTTTATTTTTTTAAAAATGTTACAGTAATTTATCCTCTTACACGTAATTGTTTGATTAACTAAAATTAAGCATCAAAAATTTATATAGGTTGAAACTTTAATTGTTAATTGTAAATCAAGAATTTTTTAAAATCATTTGAATTTAAAGTGTTCATTGAAATATGAAATCTCATTCACTTAAAATTTTATTTTATTTTATATTAATATTTAAATTGGGTTATTAATTACACCTAATTAAGTTATTACTTTTTTAATTTGAAATTAAATTATTAGTTGAGTTATTTGAAATTAAGCCTCAAATGGAGTTACCAATAACACTATAATAAGCCAAAAGTTTATTGTCAACGATAATACCTATTTATAATGGTTTATTATTAAGTCAACAATTTTAAAATACCAATTTCCTCTTATAGACTTGCGTTTTTAAATATAAAAAAAAATGCATACTGATCTGTGAGTAAAAAATTGGAAATTCTGATGGAATTGGATAAGATTGTTTCATACCCAAAAAAAAAAAAAAGGATAGGAAATTTTTTTTTTTTTGCTAATTCAAAAATTGGATAGAATTGCCCTATTAAAAAATTGATATAAATATTAAAACAAAAGAATGACTGGCACCATTACGATAAACTTGAAGAATTTATCCAAAAGTTTTACCTTTATTACTGTGACGAGACAGAAGAGACGGGGTGAAAAAAGGTTTATAAGGAAGGATTGCATTGGGACGGGCAAAGACGTGTCGAGAGAGGTACTGTTGGTGGACTATGAGAAGCCAAAGCAAGCAGGAGAGAAGGCCAATTTGTTGAGAGAGACGTAAACGGAGAGTCTTATTTCTTCCCCCTCGTTATCCCATCCCATCTTCTCTACTTTCTCTCTCTATATTCCCCTACATATCAATTGCTCCCGTTTTACGATAAACATCAAAAAAAATTTCTTTCAATTGCGCTTCGGTTCTATTTCAGAAACCCTAACAAATCGATTCGATTCGATTCGATTCGATTTTAAATCTTCACCGTTTTTTAATTAGGAAAAATTCGTCTTTTGTGCAGTGTTTTGAAGATTCATTTGATTTGTAAATCGATATATTCAGAAGTTGCTAGTTTTTGATTCTGGTTTGCTTCGATTTGGTATATATTATACAAAAAGAAAAGAGGAAAATTGATTTATTTCCTTTGTACGTTTTTTCACTTGATCTTTTGTTGTAAAGCTGAAGACAGAACGAATTGAGGCGTTTTTGTTTCGATTCGGGGACAGTTCGGTTGTTTTTGGGGTTTTTCGAAGTTAGTAGATGTTTTTGGTGTTGGAAGCTGATGGAGACACCTGTGAGTTAAGTTTGTGAAATTTGGGCTGTTTCTTTGTTTTGTGTGAGAGGCGGTTAAAGAAACAGCCTGAGGTTATGATCAGTGAAGTTGGCTTGGAGAATCAGAGCCTATTCATTTCTGTGTTCTCTTCTTCTCGGCAGTTCTTTGGGGGTTCTGGGGATGAGGAATGATGGCCAGAGACCGCAGGGAGGTGTGCCACGGCCGGGGCGGACTAATGGGTTTATACCGTCTTCGTTCCGAGCTCTGTCTAGTTACTTGAGGATCGTGTCATCTGGTGCTTCCACTGTTGCTCGGTCGGCTGCATCTGCTGCATCGGCCATTTTGGAGAGGGATAGTGATGCCAGCCACGATCAGGTGTGACTTGGATATATTTCATTCAAAATAAATGTAAAATTTCTGTATGTGTCTTAATTTTGAGAGAACTATTCAAACTCTCTACTTGCCCATTTGGAATTATTGTTTTATATAGGTTTTACTGCTTTGAATTGAATTGTTCGAGTTCTATCAAGTTTATGCACGTAATTATGTGATATATGCTTGCTAAAAATTGAGTTTTTATGGAAGATTGGAATTTAAGTTAAAACTTTATAGCAAGTACTGGACTATGGTCTATTATGTGAATGATATCCAATACTGTTGAACTGTGGGTAAGAGGATATACTGAGATTGACAGTGGGAGTTATGAGGATTATATTGTGGTCTAATTTATGGTAGCTTTTATTTAATGTGTGGAAGTTGTTCAGCATAGTTCATATTGGTTTAAAATTTCAAGAAAATTGATCATCTCATTTGATCATGATTGATATTATTTTGATTGATATTATTTAGTACGTATTTTATGATTGAATTTTTACTACTATATGGGACAATTCTAAAAGTGTAGGTCATTGACACGGAGATGCTACCACCATATATAAACATTTAGTATAATATGTACACATCTGATAAATATATAACTTTGATCAAATTTCTCAACTAAATTCTAAAAATTGCATAACTTAACTTCCCATAAGTTTCCTATAAGATGTGCTTCAGCTACGTTGTCATCTAGTAGGAAATGTTTGATGCATCAGCCTTCAAAATATTGAAACTTATTTTGAATTAAAGACACATCTACAAGGTGTTGGATAACTGTTTAGGAGTGTCTATAAAATGTCAGTGCAGTTGGCTATCTAGACTTAACTAGGAGGGGGAGGCTAGCTGCACCTTCTACCTCTAAGCTATATTGGAGTTATGGGTTTGAATGGTCATTAATTAGGAAAACCATGTGATGATGTAAGATCACTAGCCAAATTAAAGATTACATCAAATGTAAGAGATCTCTGTTGGAATGCTTTGAAGTCTAAAATGTTGTTTCAAATATTTTCCTTCCCAAAGTTGGTGGGTTATAGAAATTTAGGATTAAATGATGAAATCCCATAAATAGAACATGCTTAGAAGCATGCCTCAAGCCCATCTGCATGCAGAATGACACTTTTTCTTACACACTTGTTTACAAATGAAGAGATGTCCTTTTGTAGCTCTTAACTCTAGTATGAAAGTTCTGCTGGGTTTAGAAGTTTGGGATAAATTAAATAAAAAAAAATTCTCATACATATAGCATGCTAATACATATATCTTGAGTCAACATGCCTGCAGAATCACTTGCGTACATGCTGTATAGGCATAAATAAGTGTCAGGAATAGTGTAGTCAGTATGTAACTATCCAGTCTCAAGCACATTGATTTGAGTATGGACATCTGATAGACTTTTTTGAAATATGAAATAAAATAATTTTTTGCTTTTAGCGGTATTTCAGATATATGGCTCTAGGTAGATTAGAACATGAAGAAGTATTTCTATAGCTGACAGTAAGTAGTTTGGATGATGCTACGGTAACAATACATGTGTACCTATGAAGATGTTCTGATGGTACTAGGCTAAACACTTACTTCGAGTTGGATTTTGTTGTCATTTGAGTGTGTGAGATAATTACAGTATATCAACTATAAGGAAATAAGATCATTAGTTTAACATTGATGGGCATATCAATGGATGTGAGTAAGGCTGTGAATGAAGTGCGTTGACAAATAAAGACTTTTAGTTTTCCATAAATCACTAGGGATTATGGGCATTTGTTCCTTTCACTGTTTCTTTTTAGAGAAAACCATCTTGGAAGGTCTGGTGTTTGGCCTTTGCCATGAATCTTTTTAGTTTATTATGTTTGGTTAGAAGTGTTGCAAAATGGAGGGTAGCATAAATTCTTGCTTACTGAGAAAAGATAAGAATGCCCGAGCGGGTTGCAAGAAGGAGGGTGAGAAGATTACCATATAAAAGGCAATTAGGGGCCAATTTATGACTGTAGGTCACAAGATCTTCTCATCGGGAAGCATTTGCTTAATAAGCTGCTTTAGTATTTTTATTTTTTCTCTTGATTCTTCAGCTATTGTCCACAATCCTTTTGCCTTCTAAGAAAGTTATTTTATATGCTGCTTTATTGTTATAGGAATCTGTTATTCTTTAAAGTCCACCAAATTATATTGTTTGCTACTTTATTGTATGCCTTCTCTAAGTCTATGAAAACCTCTCGTAAGTTCTTTTGTTTGTTTCTACAATCTTCTACTAATTGCCTTAGTAAGTAAACAACATTATTTTTTTTCCCAGTTAAGCAAAAACCTTATTAGTATATCTCCTTGGCTTAAATCCAAGCTGATTATCGGACACTCTACATTATTTCTTAATCCTTATTCCTGAACAAAATTGTCGAGGCCAACACTTTTGATGCCTATATCTAGTTTAGGACATTATCAGTTTTGGTCCCGCTACAGCAGGGTCATGTGGAGGGAGGACTCGAGACAGTCCTAACCTTTGATATTCTACAAAGTGGCTTTTTGCAGCAATGACAGCACCAATGAGTCAATGACAGTGATGTTCAAGTGTTAAACTGTTAAACTACTGTTAAGTCAATGAATCAAACACTGAGGCCTGAAGAATTCTTCAAATCAATTAATGCTCACATTATTTTTTATTGATGGATATATGTAGCGACATGGACCCAAAAAAAAAGGGAATAATTCTTAAACTAACAGTTTTATTTTGAGCTACATTGAGATTGAAAGTTATAATTATTTTGACTTTTACTTTATTAAAAAAATATTTAGTTGGATTGTCAACATTTTTCTGAATGCTGGGTTCGATTGTTTTCAAGGTATTCCCAACGACATGTTGTCATCTTAAATTCATTTTGCACATTGATGTGTGCTATTATACTATGAATGTATATCACTCTGGTTGTTATAGTTTTGTGATTATGACCCTCTATTTATACTCGAGTTTGTTACTTGCATCCATGTTATCCCTATTTTTATATTTCCTTTGAAAATTGTATTACTTGTTTCCTGCATTTTATTGTAATATACATTTGAATCTTTTTCATTCATATTAGCTGTAGCAGTAGAAATGACTTCTCATATACCATTTCACAAAATAAAGGTTTGCTGGGCTGGTTTTGACAAGATAGAATTCGAGGGAGACGTCACTCGGCAAGTTCTATTGCTTGGCTATCGGTATGGATTCCAGGTTTGGGATGTTGAAGAAGCAGATAATGTTCGCAACCTAGTTTTCAGGCATGATGGTCCGGTTTCATTTATGCAAATACTACCAAAACCAGTAGCATCAAAGAGTTATGGGGATAAGTTCGCAGACAGTCGCCCATTGCTGGTAATTTGTGCAGATGGATCCTTTTCTGGAGGTGGTGTAGATAAGGATGGGCTAGCCACTCCTTTTAACGGGAACACCCAAAGTTGCCACGATTCAGTGAATGGTGGTTTTGTGCCTACTGTAGTTTGGTTTTATTCCTTGAGATCTCAATCTTACAAACATTATCTTGAGTTCAGATCAGTTGTTTATTCAGTAAGGTGCAGCTCTCGAGTTGTTGCCGTTTTACAAGCAGCTCAGGTACATTTATTCCATATACTTCTCAACTTTCCATATCTTTTGTCTTAACGAGAGAGTGAGCATGAAGTTCTATTTATTACAGATACACTGTTTTGATGCTGCAACATTAGAGAGGGAGTATACCATTCTTACGAATCCTATAGTTACGGGTTGTCCTGGATCTGGAGGTATAGGATATGGACCTCTTGCAGTGGGTCCCAGGTGGATAGCTTATAGTGGAAGTGCTGTCTCTGTCTCAAATTCTGGTCGTGTCAGTCCACAACATCTAACCCCTTCTGTGAGTTTTCCTGCTTCTGCTTCAAATGGCAGCCTGGTTGCACACTATGCAAAAGAATCAAGTAAGCAACTTGCTGCTGGGATTGTGACCCTAGGGGACAAGGGGTATAAAAAATTGTCGAGGTACTACTCTGAGCTCATACCTGATAGCAACAATTCTCCGCAAACAGGGAGTCCTCGCTGGAAAGTCAATGGAACCATTAATGGCCATTTGCCTGATGCAGACAATGTCGGAATGGTATATCTTCGTTTATGGTGTGTTTTTTTTTTTTTGGCGTTGATTGCCCTCTCTCTATTATATTTTACTACTACTACAACTACTGTTACTATTATTTCAATATTGTTATTATTGTTCATCAACAACAACAACAACAACATCAACATCAACATTATCATTATTGTTACCTTTCTTTTGCAAGTTCGGTTACATTATATGTCTGTGTCATTAACTCGGTTTTTCCTTGATTTCCTTAGTGGGTACACAATTTTATGTAATAGAGAATTAAGTGCCTGATTAAGCATTTTTTGCAATTCTTGACCAGCGCCTTGTTCTCTGTGTTATATTTTATATCACACATTTTTTCCACTCTTTTTATCTTTACTTTCTTCCATGATTTATCAGGTCATTGTCAGAGATATTGTCAGTAAATCTGTTATTTCCCAGTTTAGAGCACATAAAAGTCCTATTTCATCATTATGCTTTGATCCCAGTGGGACACTTTTGGTGACGGCTTCAGTTCAGGGGCATAACATAAATGTTTTCCGAATAATGCCTCGACCATATGGAAATTCTTCGGGAGCTGATTCTGGTGCATCTTGTGTACATCTTTATAGGCTGCAACGTGGTTTTACTAATGCAGTAAGATCTGTTTTTTCATCACATTTTTTTTCTTGAAATTTTCATTGTTGGCCTTTAGAAGATCTCTTATTCTTTTTTCTTTTGGTAATACTCTTTCAGGTTATACAGGACATCAGTTTCAGTGATGATAGCTGCTGGATTATGATAAGTTCCTCAAGAGGGACCAGTCATCTGTTTGCTATATCGCCTTCAGGGGGATCAGTTACTTTTCAGTCTTATGATGCTTGTTCTATAGGCAAGAATAGTGGATCTTGTGCTATGACCAAGCCAGGTTCACAGATGCTTATCCAACAGAACCTTTGTGTTTCTGGCCCTCCAATTACACTGTCTGTTGTTAGCAGAATAAGGAGTGGAAATAATGGTTGGAGAAGCACTGTAAGTGGTGCTGCAGCAGCTGCAACAGGCAGGATGAGTTCTCTTTCTGGGACTATTGCTTCAGCTTTTCACAACTGCAAAGGTAAAGATCTTTATATGGACTCCGGCTCTTTGAAGGCCAAGTATCACCTTTTGGTTTTCTCTCCCTCTGGTTCTGTGATACAATATGCATTGCGGATATCTCCTGCATTAGATTCTGCAACAGTTGTGTCTGGATTAAGTGCTGCTTATGAGTCAGCTACAGAGTGTGATTCTAGATTAGTGATTGAGGCAATCCAGAAGTGGAATATTTGTCAGAAACATAATCGAAGAGAGCGAGATGATAATACAGATATATATGGTGATAATGGAAATTCAGATAGCAGCAAAGTATTTCCTGAAGGAATAGAAAAGGAAATTAGTGTCTATCCTGAAGTTAGGGGCTCAATTGCAAAAGCAAAGATCAGTGCTGAGGAAAAACATCACATGTATATTTCAGAAGCGGAACTGCAGATGCATCAAGCCCGGATACCATTGTGGGCAAAACCTGAGGTATTCTTCATGTTTTGCAGGAAACTCAAAATGGTTCTCTGTTGATGCAAAATATACACTTAAGCTGGTGTGATGAGTGACATAGCCTCTTTTTCTTGCATTATTGCTTGGCAGATATCCTTTCAGTCCATGATGGTGGATGGCCTAAAAATAGATGGTGAAGATGTTTTGGGAGGGGAAATTGAGATTGAAAGCATTCCTACTTGCATGATTGAAGCAAGGCCAAGAGACTTAGTTCCTGTCTTTGATCATTTTCAAGCTCCCAATTCCCAACAGGCATGGTGAGCCGAGGTTATATAATACCATTTTTTAGCTTCTGATTCTCAGGATTGAGGCATTACTTACATTGCAAATCATTTTTGTTCATTAATTCGAATACTGGTTTGTACTTAGAGTCTAGCCTTTTTAGGAGCACAGTTAATTATCGCATTTAAAGTTGTGGAAAAAAGTGAATTGTTAAGAGAAAGCAGGAGAAGAAGTTCATAATTCCATAATTGATGGGATTTCATCTGTAATTTACTCCTTATCGTTCATCATCAATTACCTTTTGGCCTTGTTTCACTTTATTTATTCCTGCTGAACACACTTCCTATTGCAAGATTCATAGTGATGGCTCGTATAGGTTTTTCTGAAGTATTTGTTCATTCTCATTCAGGGTTCTTGCTTTGGATAGCAATAATCATGGGCAACTGCTGCATCAGAGGTCTGAAAATGGCGGGCTTTTGTGCAAGAACGGCTCTGACTATCTTGACTACATTAGTAATGGTGGTCGTACGGTAGCTGAACATCACAATGGCATTATAGGAACTGGGTGGGATGGTCTTCAGATGCCTACAGACACAACCAAGGGCTTTGTATATAATAGTAACTGCCCTAAATCAAACATTAGACCTGAGCTTGTAAATAATAGAGAGAACTCAACGGAGGCCCAGTTTAAGTATGTAAATAATAACAGAGAAGGCCTGAAAATGGAGAATCAATTTGAAGATCAAGGTGATGAATTTGATTAGAGGTGAGTTTAGCTTCCTGGCCTGCAATTTGTATGCTGGTTATAATTATTTTGTGGATATTCTTTATAAGTTTTCGTCAATTTTGGGGAACTAGTGGTATCATTGTGCTGAATCAAGCAAACAGAACATCATTGTACCAAGAGATGCTTGAAGGCATTGATAATTAATTGTTTGGCCCTAGGAAGAAAGATTACCTCTTGTATGTTTGACGTGATGACACTTTACGTAAATATGATACGATTTGTCACAAGTTGATCGTAGACTAGGTGTCATGATATATCACTTTTCAGATTGTTTATTTTGATTGCCTTGCGCTGCCCTTTCTCTTTGAGTTTGTGAGAATATGTCGTGCTTCCTTAATTTAAAGGACCCTTAGGTGATGCGAGCTTGAGTTGTTCACATGTTTTATATTTCTCAGGTGTGCAGATATTCTTTTATTCTCCCGGGAGTTTCCTTAACAGTGAATATTGTTGGTTGAAATGTAGAGCAGGAAGAGGACGGTGGGCTCCAACCTTTGATGGGGAATTGTGGATAACATCATGTTGGGTTTCATCTTCTATTGACTTTGTAAATAAAAGACCCAGAATATGTGTGTGTGTGTACATATATATATATATATATATATATATATATATCTTGATTATTCAGTTGTAATATGTAAATAATAGCATCACCTTTCATAGTTGCCATGTCGTCTAAATTTTAAAGTTATTTCATTTGTTACCTGTGGATTTTTGTGGAAGAAGAATTACAGTGCAGTAGTCTCATTTGGGTGCATGCTTCGTGATCAACAGTTGCGGGTCATGTGGATTCAACCAAGCTGCTCTAAGGTAATATATTATCTCAGCTAGTGTTTATTGTATAAGATTTGTGTTGAGGAGGCGTCCATCTGATAATCACTTTCTCGGGGCATGTGAAATCCAATCAATCCTGAAACTGTGAACTTCATAAGTGTTTATAATGATTGGAGTAGGATCCTCACAAGCGCATGGGCTTCTGTTAATGGTTTAATTTACTACCGCTTTATAACAGAGAGGGACAAGAAGGCATTGAATGTGAAATTTTGTGAATATTTTGTGCTGAAGGTTTATTGTTCGGTTACTTCTGGAATGAATCGTAGATGCTGAGTTGTATTGGTATTATGGCCCAAGGTCCTCCACCTCAGAATTAATGTAATGTAATGGGATTATGGGAATAGCTCTACTTTGTACCGACTATCAATGCATTTTTGAAGTATAAATTACCCTTCACAAGAATAGTTAATAATGTTTTGTACTTTTGACTCACACAAAATGAAAAAGTTATCGTCTATGCGTTTAAAATAAAAGATGTTGTAAGATCATCCTTTGCTAATTTGGTCGGGGTGTTAGCTCTGCCCAAAATTGCTGTTGCGGGGGCCGGTACGTACTTTTTTTCTTTTTTTTTTTTTTTTGGGGGGGGGGGTGGGGGTGGGGGTAGGTGGCCGTACCTTTGCAGCAACTTTAAACGAGTTAATTAGGGCTTCCGGTGTTCATATCTGTCGCGTAATGATTTGGCACAAAAAATTATGCTTGTCACATTGAAATCATAATATATCTATATTAAGGCCGTAATCTAGTGCTTTTGGAGTATAAACATGAAAGGTCATGTAAATAATTATTTTTTCGACTTTCAAAATAGAAGGTTTTAAGACAATGGATGTATAGTGTGTTTCTTAAAGGTTAAAAAAGAAATCATAATATATATATTGGGATTAAATTGTCTTCAAAATTTTGGCGCTCTATCGCATTGGTTACGCATCACCATTTCTCTCTTATCTCATTAGGAAACATCCTCATATCTCTCTTATCAGTGATTATCCATAACCATATGTCTCTCAACGTGATTATCCATCACCATATCTGTCTCTCATGTCTCCCTAAAATCACTTTATACCCCAATTCCATAATTTTTCTCTTTTTACTAGTAGTTAAAATATCTGCCCTTCACACTGTTATCTATATATATTTACTCACACACACAGAAATTGTTTTAATTCTCCTGGGGTGGGAAATAACGAGTGGAGTACCAGATTCGTCCTGAAATTCACTATTGTCTCATGTTCGCCATTCGGCTTTAATAGAGGATAACTTTCCATTACTTTTTATGGAAAAAGATGTACACTATAAAACAAAAAAATATCTAAAAAGTCGCACATAGTAAGGATTGGTATTTATAGAAATATATTTGTTATATATAGAATGAAGAAGTATATTCACTCCAACAGACCAACAACCAAGCGCCAACCCCACCTTTCTAGTCGCCCTTACACAGAGAGAGAGAGAGAGAGTCAGTCATTTTCCATTTAGAAACTCTGTTCTGTCAAACCCCAAACCCACATTTTATTCAAACCTTACTATTCTAAATTAAAAAACTTCATGTGGAGGCAAAGCAAAACAACATCAGATAACGCCCTCTCATCTGTATTTTTCTGTTACTTCCTCTCTCTCTCTCTTTCTCTCAACATCCCTTCTTCAAAACAAAGCCAAAACCACAGACGTGCTCTTCTCATTCCCAAGTCTCTTTCTCCCAAACAACCCCTTCTTCGCCTTCAAAAACACATTCCCAGTAAACTTTGATATATATATATATATATATATAACCTCAATGTTAAGCAAGGTTAGGTGATTGATAGCAACCCCTCAAATCCTCCAATGCTAACCTTTAACAACATCATTTCCCTTACATGGGATTTTGCATTTCAACTCTCGTAACTAAACACCAAATAGAAGAAGAACATTCCGAGAATTCAGTTTCATTCTGGCGGCCTGTTTTCTTTGTTTGTTTCTTCTTCTTCTTCTTATTTCTCAAAATGCAGCTTCATATCTCGCCCAGTCTACGCCTCGTAACCGTTTTGCCGGCCAAAGGGGTTAAAGAATTCATCAAGGTGAAGGTTGGCTCCAGAAGAGTTTCGTATCGGATGGTTCTTTATTCCCTTTTATTCGTCACCTTTCTTCTCCGCTTCTTGTTCGTCATCACCGCCGTCGAAACCATTGATGGTGAAACCAAGTGCTCTACATTAGGTACATTCATGCTTTTTAATCCATCATTTTCTTCTTCCATATCTCTTACGGAGTATTAATTAGCATGAAAATTTTAATTAAAATTAGAGACATTCATGTGAAAGTTTAATTTTCACAACACACAAGGAAAAAAAAAAAAAAGGTTAGATGAGTCGGACTGGACTTTACAACCCACCTCATCGTTTGACCTGTTCTTGTTTGTTTGTTTGTGTCTGGCTCAAGTCTGATATGTGATTGGGTTGCCAAATAAAGGACAAAAACAGTGGCTCCCATAAAAAAGTTATATTTAATGTTTGAAAACAGTAATGTGTTTACTCTGCCAATTGGCAGAGATAGTACTAAATTTGACAATAAATACATCGAACACGTATGTGTACAAAACTTAATAAAAAATGAAAATAGAAAGAAAAAATGCCTATTAAGTATCTACAATCCAACACAAAAGCTAAAACTCCTCATTCAAATAACCATTGTAAAAACAATAAAAAATTATCTATTTTGTCTGGAAAAAGCCATTCCCATTTTGAATTCACCTATATCTGTATTCTAATTGATGATTCAATATAGTGAGTATTGACACCATTAATTTATCGACAGTGTTGAGAGGGATAAAATAGTTTATTAATTCGTACTAATATACATGTTCTTCTTGAACTCAATTCTGTTTCTTAAGCGTGCCAACCTTTTATTACAAATTCTGATGATTGAACAAGAATAATGCATGTTCAGGAGGGTTAGTCAACATTCAAATAGGCTCGAATATCGTTAACATTTGATTGAGAATATACACAGTAAATCTATGTGCAAACTGTAATAATGGAAGGCTATGGACAAAAAAGAAACAACAAAAATTCTTCACAATATCATTGTCTGCTAGATATGTATGTACCTACCTAACTACCTACCTCTCAGCTTAATTAGAATGTGGAAACTTTTATTTTTAATCAAAGTAGGATCATCAGATCATTGCTTGACATATATGCCACTGCTTTAATTCGTCGTTACATCACATCTGATCCCATCACCTTAACTACCTCAAACATAAAATCCAAAAAATAATGTAGTTACTTATTTCATTCGAATTAATTAGAAATACATGTACTAATATATTGATGGCTGTTGAATATTTTTACTTAAATTACAAGTTACAAAACATGCTCTTGCTGTTGTGTGGACCTTGTTGTTCATTTGTGATAATTTCTGATATCAGAATATTTGATCAACTGATCTTGATGGTGGGTGATAGGTTGCTTGGGGAAAAGATTAGGACCGGGGATTTTGAGAAGGCGGCTCGAATCATCTGTAAATCTCTTCGTCCCAACCTTCAAATTAATAATTTTATTTTAGAACTTGTCATAATCGTCTAATTAATCACATATTTGGAACAAAATAGTGAAAATTTGTTTTGGCTTTTGAAAGGTACCAGAAGTGATATATCAAGTTCTCGAAGAACCTGTTAAACAAGATGGAATACAAGGAGGGGTTGAGGTCCCTCAGTCACTAGAAGAGTTTGTTAGTGAAATGAAGGACAGTGGATCAGATGCTGAGACCTTTGCTATCAAGCTTAAAGCCATGGTCACATTCCTTGAACAGAGGACTAGAACAGCCAAAATCCAAGAGTACCTTTATCGTCACGTGGCATCAAATAGCATACCTAAACAGCTTCATTGCCTTGCCTTAAGGCTAGCCAATGAGCACTCCACCAATGCCAACGCGCGCCTCCAGCTCCCCACGCCAGAGCTCATTCCATCCCTTGTCGACAACTCACTCTTCCACTTTGCCCTCGCCTCTGACAACATCCTTGCCGCCTCTGTGGTGGCATCATCACTTGTTCGCAACTCGTTGTACCCCAGAAAGGTTGTCCTTCACATAATCACGGATAGGAAGACCTATTCACCAATGCAGGCTTGGTTCTCATTGCACCCTCTAACACCAGCCATCATTGAGGTCAAAGGGCTGCATCATTTTGATTGGTTCACGAAGGGGAAGGTCCCAGTGTTGGAAGCCATGGAGAAAGACCAGAGAGTGAGGTCACAGTTCAGAGGAGGCTCTTCTGCCATTGTTGCAAATGATACCGAAAAGCCTCATGTCATTGCATCAAAGTTGCAAGCGCTTAGTCCAAAGTACAATTCACTGATGAATCACATTCGAATTCATCTACCTGAGGTGAGTACTTAAGATCCAATAGATCACTAATATTGTGTTTGGCAGCATCGAATCCATTCTTTGGATTGGAATCATGGACCATGTTATTTCAAAATTGAACTAATTTTTCTTCAATTCCATGCTGTCAAACGCAACATTACATTATTTTTTGCTTCTTGTGCTTTGTATATATGTATACATGTTTAGTCTTAAGGCAGGCATGCATTTTTTTTGCAGTTGTTTCCTAGCCTGAACAAGGTAGTGTTTCTCGACGATGACATTGTGATCCAAACCGACCTTTCGCCTCTGTGGGACATTGACATGAATGGGAAGGTCAATGGAGCAGTAGAAACATGTCTAGGAGAGGACAAGTTTGTGATGTCAAAGCGGCTCAAGAGCTACTTGAACTTCTCCCATCCATTGATATCGAAGAATTTCAATCCTGACGAATGTGCATGGGCATATGGCATGAACATCTTTGATCTAGAGGCTTGGAGGAAGACCAATATAAGCCACACATACCATTACTGGATTGAAGAGGTAAACAGTATTGCCTGAAACAATGTTTCTAATATAGCTTATGGTTCAATTTGAAGTTACATATATGTTGTTATATTATTACTGCAAAATTAAAGGCAATTTGATCGATTTATTTGCAGAACTTGAAATCGGAGTTGAGCTTGTGGCAGCTAGGGACATTACCACCGGGGCTAATAGCATTCCATGGTCATGTTCACATTATTGATCCATTCTGGCACATGCTTGGCCTAGGGTACCAGGAGAACACGAGCATGGCAGATGCTAAAACAGCGGGTGTCATCCATTATAATGGGCGAGCAAAGCCGTGGTTAGATATAGCATTTCCACAGCTTCGGAAGCTGTGGACGAAGTATGTGGACTTCTCAGATAAACTCATCAAAAGTTGTCATATTAGGGCATCTTAGAATGGATGGATGTTGAGAGGAATGTTTGGATGACAAAAGATGAGCAGCTTGTATAGTTGTAAATGGGAACCACAAAAGTTGAGATGGAGAGAGTTGTTCACAATTCCAGATCCTTGATTCCAAATGTAAGATGGAAGCAGCATCAGGCTTCAATCTTTTTTTCCTTGATGAAAATTTTCTTTTCTGGAGTTCTTTGTTGTTTATATGTTATGCCTTTTCAGTTTTATAGCTCTTAAACCATCATGGTTTTATGCAAACTATTTAATAAACTTTGTAAAATAAACTTGGTCTCAAAGATGCAAAGTAGGAATGTAATTCGTTTGCTCAACTGGTCTGGCTAGATATATATTTTAGGGTTAATTACAACAACACTCTCTGAGGTTTGTCATATTGACAGTCATATACAACTTAGCCGCTTTTTAGACAAAGACACCCCTGTAAGAATTTTGATCCAAACAAGCCCTTAAAACGTTAAAAAAGACGAGATTGCCCTTCAATAGTCATTTTTATAGTAAAATATCAGAATTCATGAAAAGTCAAATTTGCCCTTATATCTACACACTATCAGAGTCTTGATCCGCTATTGCCGTCTCCCCCAACCACATCCATCGCCGCCATCTCCCCAACCACATTCGCCGCCGCCGCCATCATCTCCCTCCTTATACCGTCACCACTTCTCAACCATCGCCATCACCACAGCCGTCGTCGCCATCATCTCCCTCCTTGTACCGCCACCATTTCTCAACCACAGCCGCCGCCGCCACTTCCCCTCAACCACAACCGCCGCCGCCACTTCCCCTCAACCACAACCGCCACCACCATCTCTCTCCACCACGAAGTAAATTACATTATAGATGGGTTGGGTTTTGAATTGGGGAGAGGGAAATTATGATCTGGGGTTGTGCAAATCCAAAACTGATTCGAGAACAACTTCGTAATCTGTGATACCCCCGGATTCCCGAATGCGGGTTGGCCAGGCCCACGTCTGAATACCTGAGGATATCAAAAACAAAATCGGCAATAAACGAACACAGAGTACAAAAGAATAAAGAAGAATAAATAAAATGCTGACAAGAAACTAAAATGATAATCTAATAGTAAACCTCAGAATATATTTCCATTAATTAATAAACTCTTCTGATATAACTGATCCTCCAAAATATAACTTGGGAATCTATACTGTGTGGACCCCTAGAAAATCCAAACTAAACAAATGACATCAATAACTGTCTAAATCAGGAAACTGAATCATAAAAGAACTCCTATGTAGCATCGGAAGAATGGAGTAGACTGATCCCCGCTCAGCATGAATAACCTCTACTCTTGACGAACACCTGAAAAATAATGGTAGGTCAAGCCCACAAACAAGTTCTACTCTACTACAGTCCAAGCAGAGATCCGATACACGTATACATCCTAGTCAATCTAACAGTAACTAGTAGTTCGTATATATATATACACACACTAAAGGAACCTTACTAGACTATAGGGTTATCTCAACCTAAATAGTACGCAACATGCAAAACGCACATATAGTGGGCATGAGTACCTAGACCTACCAGGGTACACAAGTACACTATATCTAGTTACACATCCCTGACAATATACGCTCCCTAACCACTGATCCTGAGACTCAAGCTCATATCATGGCACAAAACTTATATATATAAAATCTAGTAACCATCATATCTAGTATAAATCAATTCTCCATAAGTCATTCAACTTGTTCAGCTGACCTGACTTGAATATAAGTAGGACTTAATATTTTAGTTAATCAATTCCCTTATATAATAAATTAATTCTCCATAAGTCATTCAACTTGTTCAGCTGACCTAACTTGAATATAAGTAGGACTTAACATTTTAGTTAATCTATTCCCTTATATAAAATAGGTAGGACTTAACTGATAAGTTAATCCGTCTCTAAAATGCCACCGTCCCATACCGGTGCATTAAACCACACAATCCAACAATTGATATAACGATTAAGGAAATACATCAAACAATCTAGAAATAACTATGATAATATGATATCAAGTTATCACAAAATAGGAATGACTTATTATTTATTTAAGCTTCCTATATCATATGTCCTGCACAAACTGAATCTTATACATGATGATATTTTATTATACCGTCAAATAAGCATTCTCCATATCCAATTCATTCTACACCTTTAATCTCAATTGCTAAAACATTTTAAAAGATTAAATCCATTCGTTTGTTTAAAATATTCAAATAGCAAACATCATTATGATTGAGTCTATTTAAATTTATTTAAACCCAAACCTAGTTCCTATTTAATGTTTAGGAATCTTAGGCATGTTTCTACGTTCCATCATTCCACAGATATGAAAAATACATAATTTAAACATGTAAAAATTCACACCGAAAATCAAATCAAAATCATGCATTTATTAATTCATAACACAAGAACAGATATGAACCAAATTCATAAAACCTATGTTCTAATCCAATTAAACATGCATAATTATTTAATTTTATGTGTTTAATAAATTTTAGAATTTCCAAGGCATGTACAGAAACACGAATCAAAGGGAAAGAGATAGAAGAAAAACTTGCCTTAAACTTTCGGATCTTCTTTGATCTTCTCTCTACTGGGTTTTTCTCCTCCTTCTTTCCTTCCTTCATTCTCTAACTCTCTCTCTCTCTAGAATATATCACTTGAATATTTCTAACCCCCTTTTACAACCTATAGCTATATATTTATAGGTTAAATAAAATAACCCTAACCCTTTTCCCAATCTAAGTCAACTTAAAAAATATATATATTAAAATATTAAAAAGGTAACTAAAATATGTTACGTATATAATTTATGTATATCTTTATTAAATAAATAAATTATACACATTCCATTATTTATTAATGGATTATCCAATAATACATAAGTTACCATAATATTATAAAGTAACTTAAAATATAACACATATCAAATCTATATTTATTTTTATTATTTAAATATAAAACATATACATCGGATTAAATATTACTACCCAAATTACCATAAAAGTAATTAATAAATTACCCATTATTTATTAATGCATTATCCAATAATACTTAAGTTATCATAATATTATAAAGTAACTTAAAACATAACACGTATCAAATCTATGTATATTTTTATTATTTAAATGTAAAACATATACATTAGATTAAAAATTACTACCCAAGTTACCATAAAAGTAATTAATAAATTACCCATTATTTATTAATGGATTATCCAATAATACTTAAACTATCATAATATTATAGAGTAACTTAAAACATAACATGTATCAAATCTATGTATATTTTTATTATTTAAATATAAAACATATACATCAAATTAAATATTATTACCTAAGTTACCATAAAAGTAATTAATAAATTACTTTCCCTTTTATATATGTATATAATAAATATCTGTATATATATACACACAACTATCCATCGGTAATAATCCGTACCCATCCAACCTCCTATCCAAGTAGTCCATGGGACCCAATTGGTTGGCCCATTACTACTAACCATAACTATAAAAGAAAAATAAAAGAAAATAATAAAATAAAAGAAAACATTTAATTTACAATTAATTGAAACACCATTTAAGTACATAATCTAATTAATTAAACAATTAACACATAGACAAATAAAAATAACACATAGACACATAATCAAATACTTAAGTAACACTTAGTTCAATTAAACCCATAAGCAATTAGTCAAATAATCAATTAAATAATTAAAAATACAATTAAAACAAACAAATAAATACCGAGACTATCTTTTTAAATTAGGGGTATTACATAATCTTCCCAACCACCACTTCATCCACCACCATCCCCTCTGTGTACACTTCACTGGAAATGTAACGACTCGAACCCGTAGGTCCGAACCGTTAATCGGGTTCTTACCCGAACTCGAGGTTAGCTGAACCAATACCATCAAGTCCGGTGCTAATACATCATTAACACATCTTATATAAGATTCATGAAGACCCCAATCAACCTCCCAAAGACTCATAGTTAACAATATTAGAAAGAGGAAGCAAAGTGAGCAAACAACAACAAACCGGTCGACCGAAATGGAGCTTCGGTCGACCGAAATAGCTCCTGTACAAGTCGTCCGAAGTGACCATTTCGGTCGACTAAAATGGCTTTGCGATCTGAGAAATGCTATTGGACTGCTACGAACCTGAAATTATGCATAAAACTTGCTATGTAACTTTTAAAACTGAATAGTTCTTACCATACACATGTAAGATCATTGAGTACAACCTCACAACACCTAACATCCACATAATACATGATCCCTTACATAAACTAATAGCCACGAGTCAAAGTGTTTAAAGTAATATCCAAATTACAGGCCATCGAGCAAAAAGAACAAAATTTTCAAAGGTTCCATGATTACAACTTCGACAGGTGATGCTTCAACTTTACAATAAGAGCTTAGTTCATATTTACATACAAAAGGTACGAAACAAAAATTCCAATCCCTTCTAGAATTGTAGTGGGTTATCGTCCGCCACTTCTTTTTGCAAACTTGAAAAATGTTAAGATGAGGGGTGAGCATAAGCTCAGTAGGAAGTGTTTAAGACATTCTTCTTATAACCCCGTAAATCCGCATAAGGAATAGGCAAAAAGTAAACGGGATCATACCTATAATGATCCTGATTTTCCCCATTTTTCAATTTTTAGGATTTTTCGATTTTATGAATTTTTTTTAATCATTGTCTCGTTTTACGTGCCAAACACTGTGGGGTGTGTCAGGAGAGTTCCTAGAGTTGATTGGAGCATTTCCTTGAGTTCAGGACTTTTAGAATTGTATCGTTTGCATTTTCGGCATTTTTCAGTTTTTCGGGCCGAAAGATCCCAGATGGGACCTGTTACTGGAGTTGTTGAGTACGGGGACTGTGTTTTGAGTTTGTGGCATTTAGTGCATCATTATTTGTTGAATAATTACTTGGTTATATATATATTTAAAGTTGTGGTTGGGATATGTTTTATATATATGTGTGTGTGTGTGTATATATATATATTTATAATGTTAAAATGTTATTTTAAAAGTAGCGGGACCCACCACTATTGATTTACCATTATAATGACCTTTTATGGTCATTACCAGGCCATCTGCTGTCTCTCTCTCTCGCGCAGTATCTTTCTCTCTCTGTTTTTTTTTTTTTTTTTT